CCCTGATCTTGATGTCCACGCGGATGCCATGCCACTGCTGATCCTTGGGCGGCAGATCGCGGTTCACCAACCACAAAGTCCTGTCACGGTTGCTCCAATCCCTAGCTGCACCGGCCAGAACATGGAGGAGTTCAGGATCCACCTGATCAACCTTCGGCACCCCATCATTGGTCAAAAGGACCCACAACTCATCTTCCAAACCGGGACGTTGGTCTTCATCGTACCTGGATTTGGACAAGAGCTGGGGCGGCGGACGATTTGGTGGTGGTGGATGATCAGGAGTGCGCGGACTCACAGGCTTCGGCGGAGGTGGTGGAGTCTTCGGCATCGTAGGAGCCGTCTTCACTGTTGATCTGGTCGGACGAGTCGGACTCCTAGACCTAGTTGGCCTCTGGTTGGGTTCTGATGTACCAGCCGACTTTCTCCTCCTCAATGGGCTACGGGACCGCGGATTGCGATTTGCAAGCGTCGTCACGGCATCTGTCAACCTCTTGAGGGCTTGCAGAATCTCTTGGCTTCCGCTCGAAGTTTCTTCCGCTGGAATCTCTGGCTCTTCAACCTCAACCTCTTCTATCTCTTCTTCAACCTCTTGTTCGTCCAACTTGGTGTCGTCTTCATGGCTGTTAGCATCATCAAAATCCGGAACCGGCCTCACAGACGAGGTCACGGCAGCGCTCGGCATTGGTTTGCTCTTTCGAGATGCCACGGCGTCACTCGCCTTCGGCGGTCGTGAAGATGAAGATGGCCTCGAAAGTACTGGAGGGCAGGCTTTGGGTGGAAGTGGACGGGCCTTTGCACTGGTGCTGCGAATAGCCTCTTCTCGTGTTGGTGGTGGTGCTGTTGAACGTTCACCGGATCGCCACGGCACGTGGTCGTCCGCATCACCTCGAACAGCTCTTGGAGTGTGAACATTCATTGTATGTGCTGGAGTCAATGTCACAGTTGTATCGCCGAAAAGCGGCCCACAAAGAGTGCAACGTCCTCCACACGACATCTCACGCCATTCAGGCGAGTGAGAATGAATCACAACACACGTGAAGCCCTTCGAAGCAAGATGCCTGTGGATCAACATGCTTCCGCCCACAGAACGATGACGCCCTGACTTGCAGCGCACATCCAAAACTCCCTTGTCATGGCGCTCCACAAAGTCGTCCACCTCACGAAAGATGCGGTCAAGACCTCTCTGATCCCTCCTAAGACCATTCAAAATGGCCGGATGCCTTCCCACGTGTCCACGCAACGAAGGATCTTGGTCGGGATCCCACAGCGACTTGGCGTTGATGTACTTCACGGGGATACCACTGCCAACATGCTCTGCCAACCTGTCTTCAAACCGGTCACCTCCTGTGACCAGCAAAAACTCACGGCTCTTCAAATTGCCAATGATGCTGCCAAGCGCACGATGGATACCTTCGGCAGTCTGGGCTTGGTACCCTCGCTCTGCCGTATCCAATCTCTCCATCGGAGTATCGAAGGCTGTGAGGGCGACACGAAATTTGCGATGACACTTTGGAATCTTTTGGGGCATGGTGGCTTCGAAACTTTGGACCAATTGTTGAGGGGTAATTGCCAACATCATCAAACCGGTGTGCATGCATCTGAACACTTTGAGGCGTTTTCCATTGATGCTAATGATACCATTCTTGAGGTCCTTTACTAGTCCCAAGTGTGCCTGAGCATGAAGAGACAAAAGCAGCGGAGATCGACCTTTCGACAGCTGGTGGGATTCAAGAACACCATGCACTGGATCTCCCTCGTTGAAGTGCAACGAAAAGGGTAATGTGCGGGATCCTTCTGTAGTCGTCCCTTTTTCACCTAATCCGGCAAAGTTCTTCGACGTTGTGGTTGAGAAAGGGAAATCATACCCCAGCTTCTTCAGTTTGGCTTCCACGACGTCTCCCCAGTGCTTTGAATGGCAGGTGGAATTACATCCCTCGTCGAGAACGACGTAGATGTTCCCGTCGTCTGGGCTGTACATGTCCCTGGCTTCGTGAAATATGTGCACTAAACCATCTGTCATCTGGGTAGGTTCCTCCCCATGAAAGCAAATGCCGATCCCTGCAAAGGGGTCTGGATCTTCGGTGTAATCAATCATCGTGAACGAGTCTCCTTTGCTCTCTTCGATGGACTGGTGGAGGAGCTCGTGCAGCTTGATCGAAGTCACTGCCTCGGTTTCGGCTGCCAACGCGACTTGGGCGGCAAATTCAGTCAAAATCTTCTCTAGCATCTCGGGGGTGTGTCCTTCTTCGGGTTCCTCTTCAACCAAACGTTCAATCATTGGGATCCTATCGAGCGGTGCGTTGACGACTTTCTCAGAGGCTGCCTTCCTAGTCTTTTGGAGCTCCATCGGAGTCTCATCCAAAAACGAACAACAAAGCTTGCAAAACACACGGTGAACAGACCTGGAAGAACCTCGAAAATCGGTGTCCGAGTGCGGGCAATCGTCATATGCAAACTTCGGGGCTTGCTCTCTACGCTCGGTGGTGGAATTCCCACAGACAAGGCATGTCTTCTTGATGGTGTATGCTGTGCTCCCTTGTTTGGTGAACTCGGAACAATTCTTGCATTTCTCTTTTGGTGGATATGGTGGTTTCTTCCTTGAGGACCCTTTTGGGATAGGCTGCAATGACGATGAAGAAGAAGCACCACCAACCTTCCTGAAAACTGAAGCTCCCCTGTATTCAAAATGCTGATCAACCCACGTGACGAAAGCCGAAGCGATTGGACTCTTGCCATTCTTGATGGCCCATTGATGGTAGTCAGGATGTTCATGAAGGATCTGCCAAAATGTCTTCCCCCTGAACTGTCCAGCTAAGAACTTCCTATCGCTCCCCTCAGGCCTTACGAGGTCGTTGGGACTCACTGGTGCCTCCGGACGAACTCCTGAGCTGGCCTTCACGGCCATGTGAGCAATGCTATTCTTTGGAGACGCTGCATCTAGGAAAATCCCTTCGTCCTCGGATGAATCACTCATGTGGGCAATGTGTGCAGCAGGTTTCGGGGCCGATCCAGTCTTCGGGGCATTGGGCATCTTACATTGGGGATCTCCGGCCCAATGACCTAATCCACCACAACGAAGACACTTGGATTTCGCCTTGATCTCTGACAGTTTCTGGCGGCGTTGCTCGATGCTCAGGTGAGACTTCACTATCTTACCTTTACCTTTCCCCTTAGGTTTACCCTTGCCTTTGCCTTTTGCCTTTCCGAAAGCGACGAATGCGGCAAGCTGCAATTGGATAGCATCACCTGAGGAACGTTCTTCGGCATCTTCGCAATCAACTACTGCATTCAAGGCAATTGCTTCATATTCATCAACATCATCATGATACTCAAAATCCTCGTATTCAGTATGGCTAGGGTGTTCATGTTCTTCAGACTCTTCAACCCCTCCTAGCATGCCTACGAAAGAATCTTCTTCATGATGATGCTCCTGCAAGTCCTCATCTCTCCAATCGAAATTGTCTTCCCAATCGGGATAGACGGCATTGTAACCAGCACGAGGGTATTGGCTACCTTTACCTTTACCTTGGTACCCCTTCTGGTACCCTTTGCCTTTGCCTACCTGAGGCTGAATTCCCCGTCCTGTCCAGGATCGGGACCCTTCACGAAGATGGATTCCACTGTAGTTGTCAACCAGGACTCGTGCAGTACCTTCGAAGTCATCGTTCTTGCGGCAAGCCTTCACCACAAGGATCTCCTGCCTGGAGATACCTGACATCTCCAACAATAGCTCTGTGCGGAAAGCTTCTGAGATCATCATTGTGGGGTCAAGCTCAACCAACAAGGTCCACCAACGTCGTCCACGCTGAGTGTACGACAACATGCTCTCCGTAGGCTGTCTCGACAGTGGTCCTCCATGCTTCTGTCCTGCGCGAAAAAGCTCCTTACTCTCCTCCAAGGCTCGAGGAAACACATGATTACGTATCACCTCGATGAGACGCTCCAGTCCCCCTGGACGTGCAAGTGTCTCTAGACCTAAGTCTCTGGCAAGCAAAAAGGCATCACCTCTCAAACCTTCTACAATCTTGTTCACTAGGATACTGCGATCGATGATACTCGACTTGTCTGACTTAACGGACGAAGCCTTCGGTGATGTTGCATCAACCTTCGACTTGGGAGTACCGGCAGTCTCACGCGGCTCGGGCTCAAACTCCTCGGGATAGTGTCCAGGCGAAGGGAATGCGAATCCTTCGTCTGACTCTGGTGGCCAAGGCTCCCCTTCGTCGGCAGGTCCAGTCACGGGATCCTGCTTCTTTGCTGGTTGCGTTTGGGCTTGGTCGTACAGCTTGATGCGGAGTTCGGTTCGAAATTTCCAATCATGAAATGATGCAGGATCTCCCCAATAGATGTAAGACCCACTCTTAGTTTCCAGGGGGTTGCCTATTCTATCACCAGCGCTACCCGAATGGAACTTGAGTCCAGCAATGGACATGTTCGACGATTCCGACGGAGATTGCTCGGGCGAGCAATCTATTCCGGGCTCTGTCCCCAACGGAATCAGAGGAGGCAAGCGAAAGCACGCAAGGAATGCAAGCTCAGGCTTGATGTTCTACGATTCCAATGACCTGGATCAGTACGTGCCGGAGTCAGGCCGTCACCTGCTCCGCTACCAATGTCGGTAGCAACCGGAATCGTACTGTCCACACGCTCTTTTCACTGCGAAAGCGAGCACGGTATAGAAGGGCCCTAGGAGCCAAACGGCGGCAGACACAACATAGTGTGACAACCTGGCTCAACAGAATGAGATCCTACCTCAAATTCACAATATTATATATATATATGGCAAGGAAGTTCTAGAGGGATTTCCCAGCATAAGGGGGGTGCTATCCAAATTGACGACACCTAGTCCAAGCCATTGGGGTCAACGGACGGTTGTTCAGTATCAGTCCTCATTGCTTTCATCCGGGACATGTTCTGACCCATGGAGGTTAGTCCACTCAATTATTATGAAAAACACCTTGTGCAGCACCTCCTTCGTGTTTACTTTGCCGGCAAAGCACCGAGCCAGCTCTGCATCATAGTCACCTTGATGGCGCCAGCCGTTTTTTGCTGCCATGACGAGGGGCGACAATGGGAAGGGATGTGACAGACGGTCGGCCAGGGTGACAGTTTTTGCTGCCCTTTTCCCACTGCCAAGTTGTTAAAGGCTTGAATTTCTGGCCGGTCATGATCTTCATGCTATTTATTGTGGTTCTGAAGTAGGTAGAAACGGTTTCCAATACATGTGTAGTGACGTGTGGGTTTACTTTCTAATCTTTTCTACCTACTGCTTGGGGGTCTATACAAGTGACCAAGTTCATGGAGTTCTTGGCTGAGACTGAAGCCACTGGAAGCAGTTTTGACTCGTCACTAACTGCATCCAAAACGCACACCAAAAACACCGGATACTGGCGATATCTCCAGATCAAGCTCCGGATATCTTGGTCCACCTCCTCCTTCTGCTTCTTATGCCCATAAGTTTGGTGTGAGATGAAGAGCTGGACTAGTCCTGGTCAGTTAAGCAAACACCTCGTGGAGCACAGTCGAGCACATCTCATGGCAAAGGTCCCCTTTGACTCAATGGGAGTCTAAAGCTAAGAAGATAAAATCTGTTCTGGACTGATTCCGTCAGCCTAGCGCAAGAAGCCAACGAAACCACTGCCGGCATCTGCCGAATACAACCGTGTTCTTCAGCATGCTATAACAGCACAACCTCACGACCCCTCCAGTCTGAACCAAAAGAGAGTATACAAATAAAGTATTGAACCCCCATCCATCCGGAGCGTCCCCCCCCCCAAAAAAAGGTTCGAAAAAAGAAGGCCCTTCCCAGTCCGTGCCCCCGTCCTTCCAAGTTGGTTTGCGGCGAGGCCTGCACGGATGGGAGCATCTCCTTGGTGTGGCTGGCGAGGTGAGGAAACCAAAAAAACCTCCTGCGACTCAAGATGGGCTCTCAAAACCACAGGGTTGTAGAAGAAACAGTCTTCAGGATCAAGGTTGATGTTACCGTATGCAGGGAAGTACACAAGTGCAATCATGGGGCCCTTTGACATGGAAAACCAATCCAGTCTATTCAAAGGGCCTGAGTGGTGCAGCGTGGTGAAGGAGACCCGGCCCTGCACCCCCAGCTTGGAGACCACAGGCATACGAGACCGGGTCCGTTTTCTGGGACCAACGTACGCTACCACTGGCGATGCGGGGATCAGATTCAATTCATGTTGAAACCTCTCTCTCAACAGCACTGACCGTTTTTCGCTGTCCGCTTCATCTTCTCATTCCCAGAATCCAAGACCTTGTGGTACTGGATCGCCCCGAGCACTGTGCGCGAGACCGTCCTGGGCGCGGGTTCCCGCTCGGACGGTCTTGGTGGGGTCCTTCGGCCCCTGTCTCCGGGCGGAGGAGCTTCGCCTCCAAAACCCGCGGGGCACTGGTCCAAAATGATCATGGATGGCGTTGGGTAATCGGATTTCAGGGTCATCTAACAGGCCATCCAATGGATGTAAACCACATCAACTTCAATCCCCTAGGATGGTCAAACCTCTTCATAGGGCTAGGGGAGTCATACCCTTCAACTTCTGTTTTTTGGCGCACTGCTCATTTGACATCATCCCAAAAAAATGATAAAAGATGTTCGGCCCTTGTGTTTCCAGCATGTACAAGATCTGTCTGGGTTCCCTTCTCTTCTTGCTTCCTTCCGGAAGGCCCGAAGGCGCCCCGAGCTCGCGGCGCCCGAGCCTTCCGTCCGGGGCGCTGGGAGCGCTGGGAGGCCCAGAAACGCACCTCGAAGATCAGCTCTCGGATCTCCTTGGCCTTCGTCCAGTCCTTTCCGCCCCGCGTCCAGTGGTGAACATCGCCGTGGACGCGTAGTGCTGTGGATCGGATCTGGAGGGGGATTGCAGGTTGAACTGGCGTTGATACATAAAATACACAGTACATCACAGTACATGTTTGTAGAAGTGGTGTGGTGCTGTTCAATATCAACAAAATAGAGATTTGGTGAAAGGAAGTGTGGAGTCTTAGAGGTCTTCCTCAGTGCTCGATCGTCCAAACTGCATGGTTCAATGCAGGCTGCTCACCGATACGAGAATCACTTCGGCACTGGTGCGGGGGTGGTGTATGGTGACAACACAGTTTGTCAAGTTCACGCCGAACGCATGGCACTCCTACTGGCACTCCTTCATTTAGCCATGAAAAAGCAAACAGTTCCTGCGTCATCAAGTTTGGCACTCCTGATCCACCTCAGCTTGCCGGACCCATTCATGAAGCTCTCCACAGGTGAAGGAGTTGTAAAGCTCTCGTGGTGCCATCCCTTGCTTCCGCGCGAAGATCTCCCATTGATCTTCTGCCTTCGAGCAAGCGAACGCCGAACGCGAGGCGGTCGGCCCGGACACGGTGAGATCGTATGCGAAGATCACCCAAGATCACCCGCGCCTGTGAAATGGTGAAGCCCAGGTTGCTGTTGCGGCCATCGGAGGCACATAAGAACTCCTCGCTCAAAAGCACCTGCATGTGTTTCTGCGTCATGGGAACTTGCATCATGGCAAGCAAGAATTCGAGGGTTTGGGGTCGCGCTATGGCATGTTTTTGCACAGCAGGGACTTGGTTTGCATCAAGATCCATGGTAGCTCTCGTTTGCCAGGCTCATGCTGATGAGAGGTGCTGCAGAAGAAAAGGAAAAAAATGGAGACACATGGACTTACCAAACTCACAAATCTCAGCAGTCAAGCCAAGACAAGCTTGTGTGCTTTTCTCGAGGCCGAGTGACCGCCCAGTCTATTTAGCACCAACCAGCTACATAATAAGATATAAACCAGCAACCTCCAACAGGTCACCACCTGCCACTTCTATGTCTGCAAAAGCCACCAGAGGAGACCTGTTGGAGGGTGCTGGAATAGAACATATATATATATTTGTAAATATTTGTAAATATAATTACAACTATATAACTTAAATAACCCCAACCCCAGGCCTATCAAAGTAGGGGTCTGATGAATCAAACGGTTTCTTGGTTGGATCATGTTGGATCACAAATTTTACCTAATTATTGCAAATTGGATGTTAATCCATAAGAATTGACGACATGTTGATGGCTGACTTTTTGCGGAGCGCCAGCCTGCTCCTCGTAGACCGGCACCACCTGCCCGCTCCATGCGGGTTGGAGCGAGCACGACGACTATTCGCGGTTTGGGTGCGTGACTCGGTAGGGGAACCTTCGTTTTTTTCCGTCAATGCCGAATCCTAGGTCCTAGAGATTGGTTTAGTAGTGGGAACCATGGCAACTCATTCCTGGTGGAAGGCCAACAAAAAAGGCGATGGAGAACATGTTCTGATGGGTCGAAGCCCGCGCCATAGCCACAATGAACAGCCATGTCTCACTAGTCAGTAGCTTCTCTCTGGTGTCTGGGCATGTTATGGCATAGTTACCTTGATCGAACACAGAATGATCTTGATCCGTGTCCTCAACATCCCGGTCCGCCGCACCTGGGTCAAGGTGGGCACATTGCCCACCTTCCGGTCCAGCAGCGTGTCGCGGCCCGGCCGCAGGTCGCCCGACTTCAAGATCGCGCGCAACGAGTTGGCGAAGAAGCACAGGCGCTCGGAGACGGCGGCCGGGATCTTCTGTAGATCCACCTCCCAGAAGGTGGATGGACGAACGGTGGCATGACGGCGCTGGGAGTTCACAAGGACGGCGCTGGGAGTTCACTAAGGATATACAAGGATTCATGACGAACAGCATAGGGAGTTGCAGGAGTACAGTATAGTTCATGACGATGTAGGTGATACAGCCACTGTAGGATACTGTGGTGTAGGATGCTTTAGGATTCATGACGATGCACCTATCACCTACAGTATCCTACAGTGGCTGTAGCGTGGCGGTTCAAGGCGCTGTGGACCAGTTGCCCCCCGTCTGTGTACCCTCCGGAACCTGCTGTGGGCCAAGAACCCGAGGGTGTCGTCTCACGCCACTCCAAAATACTCCAAGTACTCCAAAGGTCTCGACATGTTCAACATGTTCCCACCGTCAGCAGGTGAACAGGAACTCCCTCGCTGGCGGAGCGCCAAGTGGGAAGAACCTGAACTGCCTTGTCCAGACCCCCCAAATGCCCATTAAATGACTCATGACATCTCATGACCAATCCCGCACCCGACACGGAGAGTGTCCATGACTTCGATCGCTTCGGTGCCTTCACCAAGCTGGAGCCCTGCGGCTTGCACCAGGGCTCCGTGACGAAGAAGGTCTCCACCGGGCAGCGGCGCATGGAAGGCGTGTCGAACTCGCCGGATTGCGTCTGCAAACGCATCCAGCTGCTTCCATCCACCGATCCTCAAAGCGGTAGAGTCCCACCAACTGTGCCGTTTCAAGGGTGGTGCCACTGCTGTCACTGGGGTGGCTGGGTAAGGCAAGGGTGTCACCCCCAAGCCTCTCTTTCTATATCTATAATGGCATTGGGATGCATTGGGTTTTCGGAAGTTTGGATCCTCCGCCCCCCCTTCTCCCCAGCCGAAGGGCCGTCGATCTCCCAGCAAACCGGATCGAATTGCCGCTCATCCCCCGTGGTCAGGAAGGAGACCGCATAAATGCACCTCGCCCAGCGGCGCAAGAGCCCCCCCCGGAAAGAAAGCATATGCCATGTGCAACATGAGGCAAGGACAGGGGCGCGCAATAAGCCGGTCTTCTAGCGGCTTCTTGCGACAGTGGCTGAATACCTGCATCTACCTGCTTGATGTTTGAGATGTTTCAGATGGCGTAAGCCCAAGAAGGGGGGACGAGTCGACCCAAATTGGGTAGCACGTCGATGGAATCCCTTGACTGGCGAAGACCAGGACAGAGGCTGAAAGTGGCACAGGCAGTCAGAAGAAGCACACAAAAACAACACTTGCCCTTACCTCCCCCCCAAAAAAAAGAAATGGCACACACACACACACTCCTTACTTCACAGCTGAGTGTGCCGCCTGGGTCGGGGGAAGACGATCTCCACTTCTCTATAGCCTTCCGGATCAGCGAAGGACAACTCCACTGGGAAGTTGCTGGCATTCCGTAAGTTCAGCAGGTCTTCAGCCATGGAGTTCCTGCTGGGGCTAGTCCTCAGACCAAAATCAAACCCTGCGAGGGCATCTATATACTATTTATCCTTAAAACTGCTAAAACATTGGAAGGCTGCCACGGTCGCCCCTCCAAATAATACTTTTCGTTTAGGCCTATTCGGGCTCTCCCAAAACGTGTTGGTTCAAGTTCTTGGTGTGTTCGCTTTTGGGGCGTGGTCTGCAACACCTCTGCCAGCTCAATGATCTCAAATGTATCTCAGATATATTCAGACGTTCACAGCTGGCTCATGGTGGCCTGCCTCATGGTACCATCCTCCAGCACATTCCTGCGCGAAGCGCAACACCTCAAATCTCTTGCGCAACTTCACCGACCAGGATCATTCCTTCCTTCCCTCTGCAGGTCCGACACGGTCGCTCCCATCTGGGACCCAGTGAGGCGAGTCACTTCAATGGGCGCCCTGCGATGTTGAGGCTGCTCCCCCGGCTGCGCCTAAAGCAACGTGGCGCAGAGCGGCAGGACATACAGGAGCCACTCACGTGGGTTAGGATTGGTATGGATTGGTGGACGTTTCTGCCAAGGACAAAGCCAAAAGTTAGGAATTGCCTGCATGTGAGCCGGAGCGTATCTTACATATCATTTTGTGTATCCGTTCTGCAGCCCCGCAATGACCAAAGGCTCTTTGAACAATGAATACGAAGGATGGATTGACGAAAGTCCCCCCCTACTAGTAGCGGTAAAGATCCATAAAGACACTGGGTGATTCTGGTCCAACTGTATAGGGACTGCACCAGACTGCATCTTCCTGCTTCCAGGCAGCTCTCTCTGAGGGGTGCTGGTGCCTGAACCTGCGAACGACAGATCGTTGGATCCGCTTCACTAAGGCGGCCGGAGCCTCCTAGGGCCGCGCGCCAAGCATGGCTGCAGGCTCTCGTCGCATTGCGTCTTGAAGTTAGATACACTCAGGGCAACATGCCACCCTAGCACAAACATAACTACACACACTAGAAAGATCTATTAAAGTATTGTCAGAGTCACAGACTATATATTAACATTAATATTCATCGTTCCCTCATCCTCTTTTCCATGTCATGCCATCACTCACTTAGGAGCCACCTCTTCTTCTCCCTCCATGTCTGCCAACTCATCCAAAACTGCTTCGTGCCTCCATTCTGCGAGGACTGGGAGAGAAGCTGCCAACCAGATTTCACGCCAAGGCCTGTGCATGGGGCGAACACCAACAGGAGTATAGGTCTCAAAGGGTTGGATGGAAAGCAGTGACAAAACCCAAACTTAACAAATTGCATCAACTCTTGTGGCATCCGCCTGCAGGCTAAATCTCTAAACCGACCGATGTAGAACAGAAGGGTCTTTTTGCGATTGCATGTGTTCGGGCTGTGTTCTATGTGGGTTCTGGTGGATTAAGGATCCCCTAGATCTGAAGCATAGAGTTTGGCAGTGAACGCTTTTGCAAAAGTCACACATATTCACCTGTCTGCCAGACAAACATTCTCCTTGGATGATCACTTTGACACTCCCTTTGACTGAACACTGATGTCTCTGATGTCCCTCCCCACTGATGGCCTTCTTTCCCAAAACCCCGACCTGCGGTGAACGACGCCAATTCTCGCGTTTGGCCATCGGGCCACTGCCTGGCACGTCTGTGGTGGCGATGAGCCGGTCATCCAAGACTTGCATCAGCTCGGTGTGCTGCACAGCCGACGTGACCTTGACCTCGGAACCCGGAACCCAGGGAGAGTGGGACTGTGGGTGTGCAGAAGTGTGCGTCAATGGGTCAATGGGTGAGGTGGTAGAAGTGGCGTTCATCCTGTAAAACTAAAAAAGGAAATAAGAAGGAAGTATTACTGTATATAATCCATCTTCAAGAAAACTTTGTGGAGGAATCAGGGAAACAAATTCCGTTTGAGGGAGATGCTCGAACACGGGAAAATTCTGATTGGATCTCTCAACTGGCTGCCATGTAGCACCCTCAAGTGGCTGCCTGAATGATCCTCATCCAGGTGGACCAAGCAAATCACTTCGAACGAGCCGCTGGTTTCAAAGCCACCAACCGTTCCCTTGATCTCCCATGTGTTGAGTGTATTAAGCTGACTTGAAAAATGCGCCAACCCTTCCCTAAAGGCCCCGCGAGTAGCCTTTTCACCCTCTCTGGCCGCTGTCCGTCGCAAAGTGCACGGGGAAAAACACACACACACACAGTAGCACGACGACGCGTGACACACGCCAGGCACCAGGGCCGATCTGCGTGCAGGGCCCATCGCCGAGTGACCAACTTCGCAGCCACTTTGTCCACGCTGTAGCTTTCTGCATTGCTCCTTGGCCCATGCCTCACCTGAGCAATGACATCTCAAGCGATGTCAGCCAGACGTCAATGCATCATTTGTGGGTGTGTCTCTCTCGGAAGCGCTCGACCCACCCCACAAGAGATGGCTAGTGGAAGGAAAACATCGCTCCAGGACCCATTTTGTGGAGTTGACGCTCAGGTTCAGTGAAAACTGATTTGAATTCCATAGTGCCGGGGTGTCACGGGCCAAACCATCACTTTCGCACTTAAGGCCATGCAAAATGTCTTTGTCTTTATGCCCTATGCCCAGCCAACTCCCAACCTCTTTGATTGGCAAATCTATCAATCCAAACACAAGGAATTTCGGAAATGAAGCTGATGTCACAACTCTTCTCTCCACCGCCATCCCCTTGCCTTTTGGCTGAAAGTCGAATAGCTTTGATTCCGAGATCCAAAACTATACGGCTATATAATGCTATATATACATAGCTATAAATTACACGGAGCCTTTAACTTCGATCCTCTGTGGAGCTTCACCAAGCCCGTGGGATGGCAAACGGAAGTGTCATCTCCCAAAAAGGCTTCAATAACGTTGAACTTTGAACTTGTATGCTAACTGTATACACACCACCCACACCCAGATGAAAAATTACTTTACTTCGAAATTCCCCACCCTCAAAGAATTGGTCTTCACAAGAGAAAAGCGGTTCGGCGCGAAAAGGATTCTTTATTGAAAACAAAACCACACATCGAATACTTACTTGTGAGGTTTCTGAACTTCGATTTTTAAATGCCTGGCAACCCCACATCCCTGCCAAGTCAACTTGTGGTGGATATGCTGTGGAACTGGTACTTGGGAGCACTCTGGTGAATGTGCTGGTGTAAAGGCTACGCGGGCTACTCGGGGCCACTCTGGTGGATGTGCTGTGTAAGGGCTACTCTGGGCCACTGTGGGCCACTCTGGTGGATGTGCTGTGTTCTTTGGGTTGCTCTGAGCTACGCTGGGACCACTCTGGTGGATGTGCAGAAGTAGCGAGTCTACTGAAGTCCAAAGTTCTTAAAATCTAACAGCCCCACAGTCCTGCGGGTGGGGAAAAAACTGCGTACAATACAAGTCTACAACTATCCTGCGATCTCTTTGGTAAATGTGCTGTGGAGAAGCTAGGTTGCGCTACTAAAAACTGTGGTTGCTGTGGACCAGCTAAGTTGAACTACTTAGAAATCAGTTTGTGAATGTGCTGTGGAAGAGCTAGGCAGCTAGGTTTAGCTACTCAGGGATCAGATTGGTGAATGTGGCATCAATACTTAGAGGTCATTTTGGTGAATGTGCTGTGGAAGTGCTACGTTGAATTACTCAGGGATTACTTTGGTGAACAGGGATCAGTTTGGCGAGCGTGCTGTGAAAGAGCCACTTTGGGCTACTCAGAGATCACCTTGGTGAACGTGCTGTGGAAAAGCTAGCTTGAATACTCAGGGATCACTCTGGGGAACGTGCTGTGGAAGAGCTACTTTGGGCTACTCCGGGATCTCTTTGGTGAACATGCTGTGGAAGTGCTGCGTTGAACTACTCAGGGATCACTTTGGTGAGTGTGCTATGGAAGAACTGCTTTGGGCTACTCAGGGATTACTTTGGCGAGTGTGGTGTGGAAGGGCTAAGTTGGGCTAGTCAGGGATTCCTTTGGTGAACGTGCTGTGAAAAAGCTACTTTGGGCTTCTCAAGGATTACTTTGGTCAACGTGCTGTGGAAGATCTAAGTTGGGCTACTCAGGGATTACTTTGGCGAGTGTGGTGTGGAAGAGCTAAGTTGGGCTAGTCAGGGATTCCTTTGGTGAACGTGCTGTGGAAAAGCTACTTTGGGCTTCTCAAGGATTACTTTGGTCAACGTGCTGTGGAAGATCTAAGTTGGGCTACTCGCGGACTACTTTGGTGAGTGTGCTGTGGAAGGGCTAAGCTACTCAGGGACCACTTTGGTGAGTGTGCTGTGGACAAGCTAAGTTGGGCTACTCAGAGACCACTTCGTGAGTGTGCTATAGAAGAGCTAAGTTGGGCGACCGGGCGTACTGAAGTCCGAAGTTCTAAAAACCTAACAACCGACAGGCCTACGGGTGAGAAAAACGCAGCTTTTGTTGGCTTGATAAGTACATTGCAACTCTACAACCACCTTGGAATCACTTTGGTAAATGTGCTGTGGAGAAGCTAAGTTGCGCTACTAAGAACTGTGTTTGCTGTGGAAGAGCTAAGATGAGCTACTTAGAAATCAGTTTGTGAATTTGCTGTGGAAATGCTAGGTTTAGCTACTCAGGGATCAGATTGGTGAATGTGGCGTCAATACTTAGAGGTCATTTTGGTGAATGTGCTGTGGAAGTGCTACGTTGAACTACTCAGGGATTACTTTGGTGAACAAGGATCACTTTGGCGAGCGTGCTGTGGAAGAGTTAAGTTGAACTAGTCAGAGATTACTTTTGTGAGTGTGCTGTCAAAGAGCTACGTTGAACTACTCAGGGATTACTTTGGTGAACAGGGACCACTGTGGAAGAGCTAAGTTGCGCTACTCAGGGATCACTTTGGCCAGTGTGCTGTGGAAGAGCTAAGTTGCGCTACTCAGGGGCCACTTTGGCCAGTGTGGTGTGGAAGAGCTAAGTTGCGCTACTCAGGGACCACTTTGGCCAGTATGCTGTGGAAGAGCTAAGTTGCGCTACTCAGGGACCACTTTGGCCAGTGTGCTGTGGAAAAGCTAAGTTGCGCTAGTCAGGGACCTCTTTGGCCAGTGTGCTATGGAAGATCTAAGTTGGGCTACTTAGGGACCACTTTGGTGAGTGTGCTATGGAAGAGCTAAGTTGGGCTACTCAGGGACCACTTTGGCCAGTGTGCTGTGCAAGAGCTACTTTGGGCTACTCAGGGACCACTTTGGTGAGTGTGCTGTGCCACTTTGGCCCATGTGCTATGGAAGAGCTAAGTTGCGCTACTCAGGGACCACTTTGGCCAGTGTGTTGTGGAAGAGCTAAGTTGGGCTACCGGGCGTGCTGAAGTCCAAAGTTCTAAAAATCTAACATACCCACAGTCCTACGGGTGTGGAAAAATCTGAGCATCCACACGCAAGTTGTGAAGTGCTCTGCCAGCAGCTTCGCCCGCGCCAACGGCAACAGCCGCCACCGAAAAAAAAAAAACGGCTTGATAAGTACATTACAACTCTACAACTATCCTGGGATCACTTCGGTAAATGTGCTGTCGAAGAGCTACGTTGCGCTACTCAGGGATCACTTTGGCCAGTGTGCTGTGGAAGAGCTAAGTTGCGCTACTCAGGGATCACTTTGGCCAGTGTGCTGTGGAAGAGCTAAGTTGCGCTACTCAGGGATCACTTTGGCCAGTGTGCTGTGGAAGAGCTAAGTTGCGCTACTCAGGGATCACTTTGGCCAGTGTGCTGTGGAAGAACTAAGTTGCGCTACTCAGGGATCACTTTGGCCAGTGTGCTGTGGAAGAGCTAAGTTGCGCTACTCAGGATCACTTTGGCCAGTGTGCTGTGGAAGAGCTAAGTTGCGCTACTCAGGGATCACTTTGGCCAGTGTGCTGTGGAAGAGCTAAGTTGCGCTACTCAGGGGTCACTTTGGCCAGTGTGCTGTGGAAGAGCTAAGTTGGGCTACCGGGCGTACTGAAGTCCAAAGTTCTAAAAATCTAACAACCCCACAGTCCTACGGGTGGGGAAAAACAAAACATGACAAAGACATAAAGACTTCTAGTAGGTCCAACCTCCGCCACCGCGCCCCGGAATCGACGACCTGTCATTGTCTGGCCTGCAGCCCTGAGATGCAGCAGCTTCGCCCCGCTTGTTTCCAAGAGCCCCCCCCGCAGCTGGGTAGCGCGGAAGCGCAGCCGCTGGAAGCCTTGGCCCGCTTCTAAGGGCGAGTTGGCACCTTCATCATGGGTCTAAAATGTGTCAGACTCTAGTGATTCTAGAATGAGCTCCTTAGGTTTTCCAAGTGGAAAACTTGGATGAGCAACGCATTGTTCGACACACACACACAAAGACACACCTCCAGGCTGATGGAAATGTAGGGCCTTAACGAATGCAAGACATGTGAAAAGGGCCACGATCGTCTTGAAGAAGTGCTTTATACAAAGGATTTGATGCGATTTGTTTGTGGGTCTTCAGTCATCATTTCACCAGGGGCCGATAAGGTCTATATATATATATATATAGGTGGTGGAAGTCGTTGCAACCCTGGTTTGGTGGTTTGTCGTTTCGAAAGCCCGGGGGATGGATTGTTCAGAGCACATCAAAGCACCAGCGCTGATTGGGAAGCTGAAAAAGGACAGCCATGCCTTGCCCCAAACCTTCTGAAGGACCTGTGTTACTGGGGGCACCTATCGAAGGACTCCTTCGCAACAGGTCTTAATCTTCTCGTTGCCCCTTCCCCTCTTAAAGACTTTTTCATATCAAAGGCAGTTTAGAGTCTCACTCAGACTCTTGGACTTCGAGCTATCGTAGGTAAGCTCTCCAACCAGGTGCGCTCGCAACACCAACCGAGCGGCGCTGTGAGACCTGGGCGAACTCCGTCTGCGAGGCCGCCGGGTCCTTCCAACGGAAGGTCCGGGCTGCGTGCACCTGACTTCGGGGAACGCGAACGCGAAGCGAACCGCCAGACGCGAACGTCGCTCTCGTCTTCGAGCATCCGTCCGACGAAGTGGCAGAAGCGAGTTCAGCGGAGTTCGGAGTTCAGCCTCTGGGAACGTTCTGGCCCGTCCGGCATCCCAAAAGCGGGTTCAACTCATGGGAAGTGAGGGAAGTGATCGGAGGTCACCTCACAGGTGAACTTCCAAAGCGAGTCAGGTGGAAAAGTTCGTCGATGATGTGTAGCCACACCGGGGGGGGCCAAGAATATGAAGGGTGCCAGTGCACAGCAAATCAGCGTTATTTCCGAAACTAGCCATCTCATGTAATATGGCAACGGGTCCAAACTTTCAAGCAATGGGGAGGTGTCGCACACCCGGGAGGTAGCGTACTAATTTCGTTTAAATATAATATTTGAACCACCGGCCGGTTGTTGTTAGTAGAGTCATCCTGCACCACAATCATGGAAATGCCAAGCCCCAAACCCCACAATGAACCGGTTCCAGGGTATTGCAGGAAATGGTCTATCATGGTCTAGCATGGTCTATCTATTTACAGTATCAAGGTATATATATATATCAAGTTCCTCTTTTGGATGCGTCCGGCACAAAGTCTGCCGCTTACCAAAGCGAAAGCCGGCGAAAAATGCATTTCTGCAAGCAGCCATGTTGTTGGCCGCAGCATCTGAGATCAAACAATCCTCAGGGAAGAAGATGTTGGTTCTATGGTGTGGGTTAAGCATGGACAGCTGGTGCTAGGGGAACCTGCAGCTGGTGCTAGGGGAACCTGTTTACGAAAACATTGGGACTGGTCCACCTCACTTGCTCATTTAGAAGTCGCCCTCCCCCTTCTCATTGGCGCGTGATGGCTCATGAGCCCACTTCAAAGCGCCCACTGGGATGATCGAACTCCACCGCTCAGCAGGGCGTCCTCGTAGAGCGATTCCACCGCACAGCTCCAAACCAGCCGCCACGCGCTGCCAAAGATACATTCCTGCCATGAGCCAACTGGCTGTGAATCCCAGACTCCAGAAAAACATAGCTATGTACTATTTTATTCTTACCACTAAGGTTAAGCAAAGATACAAATTATACCACTCAGATACCACTCAGCCCAAACCTCAGCACACCTCGCAAAGCAACAAACAGCATTTCATCCGGCAACCTCTTCATACCTCTTCAAGGTCTACCAATTCACTTCAACCCCCCTAATTGAAAATTCCAAAGTAACGAAACACTCAAACAACGCCAAACCACTCAAAACAGCCTTAAAAGATGCCGAGCACAGTGAACCGATATCTGGCTCGGCCATGTTCAAAAATGACTGGTCAGGCTTCTGACGCTGAGAGTCCATGGCACGGCCATCACTGATGGTGCTGTAGGTGTCATGGTGATCTTGACGCCGGGTGCTGGCATCCAAGTCCAAGTGCCTCTTGTGACAGGCATCACCCGGACCGCCCAACACTGCAGACATCCATGACATCAAAGGATTGATTTATGGACCGCCCCCAGGCTCGTCTTGGCCTGGAGGCCCTCCTCTTTCAGATTCCCCTCAGCTAACACACTCCTGGTATCTCCTGGTGCTCTTCCTTCACTACCATCTTGCGCCTGAGGGCAGAGGAGGCCACATTGCGCAAGCCCCGGTGCTCACCCATGGCATAGCCACCGATCCTCGGCTTCGACCGATGCCAGCCCACGGAGGGCCAGATCCAATCTGTTGAATGTAGATGCTTGATTCATCAAACATGTAGCATGAACAGGTTGTTCAATCCATGTCTTGAGGAAGGCTTTCATTTGTCAACATTCTGAGATTCCACGTGATGTTGTGCTCCTTTTGCTGCTAGGTCGTGCTTAAGAACAAGTAACAATCCCTGTCAATTAAATGAGACCCAGCTGGCGGCAGCTGGCGGCGGCTGGGAATGTTTGAAAGTGAAATCACACCCACGTCAGTGGCCAGAAAACCATCTTTGTGCCAGTTGTTCCCGCAAAGACCATTGAACACAACTTTATAGCAAGTCATCAACATCCTATATATCATCATGCAAGTCCGATGTTACGTGCCTCACAGGCTACCTTGCCATGTTGCCGGGCAAGCTAAGTATGCAGCGTTTCAGAACGCTTGGGCGGAATTGGATGGTTTGGGACATGGCTTGACCATGGCTGGAACAGGCGTCAAAACGTCCGAAAGGCTGCAAGGCACGGACGACATCAGGACCATTCCGCAGCCCACCGCCGCAAACAACAGGTACCATGACCAAGTCTCCCGATCACCAAGTAGAAAAGGAAGTGCCTCAAAGCTCGAGGCCATGTACAGTTGACCCAGACTGCAACTTCAATTCTCTTGAAACAGGTCCGAATTTGCTCTCATGAGTGTCAAAGACCATGCCGCCCGTTCTCTTTTGGGTGTGCCTATATGCACCCCCTGTCAAGCAATCGAAAAGGAGCTCCTGTGAACGTTCCGAACGACCCAAATGCGCCGGGCCACAGGTCCAGGAAGGCCGTCATGCCCACCAAGAGGTAGATCGTCATGACAGAGAGCACACAGGCCACCTATCTCTGGTTGGGCATGCTAGGGTTGGTGGTTTTTACACTACTTACCTTGGTCCCCCACTGACAAACGTCAACAAGGACATCAAAAGCCACATGGATCATCCTCGAACACTATGCGAGGATGACTCTCTTCTTTGCCTGTGCTACATAGGCCTACGCTTATTCTTGCCTCTCTCACTGACTCTCACTTCACCCTCCTTCCACGACCCCCAGCCCTGGTAGCCCCAAACAATCCGCCCCGGAAATGCTCTGGGTGCTGCTCCAAGCCACGCATTCCGAAGGAAAGGGGTGGACCGTGAAGCCTTCTAGGTCGGCAGAGAAGGCGAAGAGCCGGTCGGAGCAGGAGTCTCCACAAAAGCCGCTGAAGGAAAAGCCTCATCAGCTCACCGTCCAAGGAGCAGACACAAAATGCACAGGAAGTGGCCCATGTTGAAAAAAGATCACTGGAGCCCATCGGAGCAAGCTGAAAACCAGTTCGACCCCAGGTTGCTCTTCGGATTCACAAGCAAATCCCACAAAAACATCCAAAAACTCATGAAACATCCGACTACATTGCACGATGGCTGCAAAAACAAAGAAGTGGCATGGCATCTATGGGAATCGTGCTCGGGCCATCGTCGACATGTGGTCGACATGGCCTTTCAATGCCTGGAACTTGCATGTGGAGTAGCTACTAGCCATGCCAAATATTGCATTTGTTCAAGGTTTTCCTCCAAACATATGCTCTAGGTGCCTTGACCCGGGGGGGTCATGGTATGTCTAGCCCAACCAGGCCATACCAGGCCTGAGACCAACGGCGCCACAAAGATTACCTCAAAGGCAAAGCACCTCAAAACACGCGTTTTGATGCGTTTTGCGCGTGTTTTCTCAGCCGATCCATTCAGCCGAATTTCGGCAGCTCCCAGCTGAAAACATGTGAGAGCCTGTCTAACGTAACGGGCCGAGGGAATGCCAACCCGCGTTTGGCCTGAGTCGTAAGGGAGCAAGCACCAGGTTTGGTGGTTGAGTTGTAGGGAGAGGGTGGAGAAATCAATTCAAATTCCCACATGTCTTCCTTACTCAATGGGTCTTTGATGTCGTCTTCAAAGAACTGCTCCCAACAGAAGCCTAGCCCACAGGTATTTGTAGTACTTCAGGTGCGTCTATCTGGGTTTGAGTGGCTGAGAAACACAAGATCGCCAAGGCACAAAAGCAGCACGAAGAGCCACACAAAGAAGGGAGCGCTGCCCTTCCCCTCCTCACGATGAAAAAGAGAGAGGGATTGCCAGGGATTGCTGAAATTACAGCATAGAGTTTGAGGGAAGTGAACCGCCTTCAAACATCATCCCACCTCAAGCCCTGTCGCTCGATCAAGGCCCTTGGTTTCGCTGCCCGGACCAACCCGGGCCGGCCTTTCCAATGGGCCCAATGGGTGGGTCGGAGACCACCGTCATGAAGGAGGCCGCGCTGTTGGTTCCATCCTGCACATCCAGGCCGCACCGGCACCGAACGAAACACAAACACGTAGTCTGTTCCACAAACCACGTGGTCTGTGCTGCACCTTCCTAATGGGAGGATGCGAAACAGGTCAGCACTTTTTTGGGGTCAGAACACCACAAAAATCCAAACATTATCTTCCGTTTGGATGTTTTGTTGGGCATCCACCATGGGCAAACGGTGTTGTTCACCATTTTCGGGGGGCGGGGGCTTGTCCACCTCAAATCGGTGATGAACCTGAGTCCTCTCTTCACAAGAGCTTTGGAAGATGTCCGGCCCAGGGGCCCAGCGACGTACGGACCGTGCAGTTCGGCTCAGGGTCTGAGTCGAGAACATGATACACTTGGAACATCCAGAAACTAGTTTCTTCTTCCTTCCTCCAGTTGACCTTCAGCCAACTATGATGGAAAATAACATGAAGAAACCCGCGGAAACTGAGTGATTCGTGGTTGGGTCGTCTCCCGGTAATACTTGGAGACTGGAGACTTTTTGTCAAAAACAGACTTCCCCTCCTGCGAGAGGTTCGCATCAGGCGTGCTCCAAGCACGTTGCTTCTGCAGGCTCTTCGGCGACCCATGGACAAAGGGGATGTCCGTGCGTCGGGTAATCAGCAAGAAGAAGAACAGTCGGACCACCGCATAGCCGGCACCTAAGCGTGGTGTCACTCCACGCAAACCACCAAAACCAACTGGGGCGGCCTTGAACAGAAAAACAAAAATAAGTTGGTTAACTTATAAAGTTATATAGAATTGACTTATTATTGGCAATATAAGTAATATATATGCTCTCAATTACCGGGGTCATCAGCTACAGCGACTGCACCCGGGGGGCACACCAGCCTTCATGGTTTACCCATGTCTGCCCTTTGGAGGGTACTGCCCGAACACTCTTCACAGTTTCTTGACAAAACGTGCCCAACCGGTTTTGAAAATAGTCCCCGGCCACCGGTCAAGTTTACGAGCGAAGACCGGCTAATTACATGAGAATACCGCATGACGTTAGGCCTACAGTAATCAAACATCTTGGACACAATCTGTTCTCTCAACATGTCATCAACAAAAAAACCAAAGAATAAACTGAAAGATGTCCACCAAAACGCACCTGTGCCAGTTACAAAAAAGCTGTGAACATGTTGTCCGTAAAATCTAGATATCGAACAAACCTCCAGGGAGAAAGAAAAGACCCGAAGACCCAAAACAACCCAAAATGACCCAAGGCACAAAAGCTCAAGGCCGTCGGATCACTGCAGTCCGGGTTCTGCCGGTGCGGCTGAAGAAGCTGACATGGGTTGGTCCAGTGAATGATATGTCCCTTGACAGCACGTGGTGATATGACAGCTCCCGAGTCATGGCATTAATTCCCGGTATTTCCAAGTGGGGTGGCACCTGGGAATGCAGTTGGCTCCATATCACGTGTAATTGGCCTGCAGTTGGGGCATCCAACGATGCCAAAGGTGGAACCACACTGGTGCAAAGAATTGTTACATCTGGACTCCAGGCTTGGTAGTTGCACTGTAGTTCCCGTAGGGTGCTCCAATACATGTGGGCATAGACAAACTCCATGGCCCCTAAACTATCCTAACTTACTTCCAATAGCACTGTACAGCTTTACAAATACGATCAAGCGTGGAGTGTCCTTTGGCGGCCGAAGGCCATGGTAAAAGAAAAAAGTACATGGCATGGGTGTTGCATAAGTCAACAGTCTTTGTTATCTCAAGCTCCTGCGAAAAATTGCTAATGTATATATAATATACATTAGTAGCTGTTCGCAGGAGCTTGAGATAACCAAAATAATATAATAGTCAATTATATAAACATATATAAACATTCAAAAAACAAGTGAAACAATTCTGGAAATGCTGGTGGCAAAATCATAGAAGCCTTCAAGATTCCTCAAAAAGCTTTCAAGATGGAAAATGCTTCAAATAGACCATACAGTACACGCTAAATTGAAGCCTTTGCACTGCATCACTCACCAAGCTCTCACCTGCCCCCACTCCCACCCGCGCCTTGGAGAAGGTCTCTTGCGGCGTCAAGTTGCACAAGTTCTGCCCCACCTGGCCCACCACCACCATGGCTCCAAGGCTCACCACGCCCACGATCAAGGACATGAAGCGCCTGGTGGTCCCCACGACCGGCCGGAACAACGCCGACGTCGGTCGAAAGGTATCTCTCCCGAAGTGTTGGTCGTACTTACTAGGCTATGTGGGAAAAGATCACCGAGCATCCCTGGAGTTTCAGTCTGGAAAGGCTGCTCATACCCGCCCGTGTGTTCTTAGAACATCTTAGAACTGTATCACAACGCAACTGAAACATGGACTGCAGGTGGGCTCCCCAACACAGGCTTCTACAACTGAAAGCGTGACGAACAGCACCCGCAACCGCCTGGTGGAAACTTTGTCTCACAAAAAATCGATGAAAAAACACCCCCTTTGAAGAATGGCTCCAGAACACCGAACCAGACCCACATGGTCAAAGCCCTAACAGGAACAAGCAAAAAGCAGCAACTATTAAATTATCTCTCTCTCACATGTGTATGAACATTATCTACAGACATGTATACCAAAAATAGTTCAATACAGTTCTGCAGGTGGTCTGTCAATTCAACAGTTCACCTCTAGACATATTTAAATAAACTTTCATAAACTTTCATATGGTAAGGACAGCCAGAATCCTTGATTTAAAAAAGTCAAAAAAAACATGAGTCTAATGGAATCACAAAAAATGACAAATCAAAAAAAGAATGAGACGAAAACGTCTAAAACAAGTCCAAGAAAGTCAAAACTCAAAAAAAAAAGGTCGTATAAAAGTCAAAATGTCGGATCTGGTTTGCTTTGACTTGTTTTGACTTTCTGAAACTTTCTGATTTGATTTGTTGTGCCTTTAACTTTTGGCACTGACTACTATGTTGACTTTTTTGGACCTTTGTGTAACTTGTTGAAAACAGGCTCTCTCCAATGAGAGTTGTTTTTAATAACTCTAGACCCCATGCCCTTCATCCTACCGATAGCGCTCCGCGCGTCCCTCGTCCTTACCTGCGCGTCCAAAGTCGGTGCGCGCGCTTCACGCGCGACTTGAAGCGCCCGGGGCTGCGGCACAGGCGACGTTGCGAGAGGCCGTGCCAAAGCAGGCCCAGCTCCGCTAGCCTCGGTGGGCGGAGCGGCTGAGCGGCGGAGCAGTCCATCGGCACGATGGAAAACGAACGAAGGAGACAGTTCGGGGGTGAGCCAACCATACCCAAGAATGTGCCAGTCAATTGGAACATCTCTCCCACCGTCTCCCACTTACACCCAGCAATGTAAGAACATGTAAGAATGCAGAATCATCTTGGAGTGGCCAGTGACCAATAGACATGACTCATGACTTAACACATCTTAATGTGAGTTTTGGAGAAGTGACACCGGCGATCATAGGCTTTTTGGCCACATATATAAGGAGGACCTTTGGCACACAAGGACTGAGGCACCAGGTGGGGCAGCTCAGCACCGGGATATGGTCTTTGTGGAAAACACACCCAGCCATTCAAAAGCCACCTGCGCTCACATTCTTGACAGGAACATTTTTTTGTTCGGATCCTTCGGCAGTCCCGACAGGCGTCGACACCGTGAACGCCAGAGAGTTGCAACCCTCAAAGGCAAATTTTCCTAGCTGCGTCACTGACTGTGGGATGGTCACGTGCGCCAAAGAGCAGCAATTCGCAAATGCACCAGGTTCAATATGGGTCACTGAGTTTGGGATGATCAAATTCACCAAAGATCTGCAATCTGCAAAGGCACGAACCCCAATACGGGTCACTGAGTCTGAGATGGTCAAGTTCACAAGGGAGCTGCAACCTTCAAAAGCATAATCCCCAATGTGGGTCACTGAGTTTGAGATTCTCAAGTGCACCAAGGAGCTACATTTCCGAAAGGCAGCCTGCCCGATGTGGGTCACTGAGTCCGGGATAGTCAACTTCACTAAAGAGCTACAATCTGCAAAGGCACGAGTTCCAATCTGGATCACTGAGTCTGAGATGGTCAAATTCACCAAGGAGCTGCAACCTGCAAAGGCTGATCCCTCAACCTGAATCACAGACTTTGGGATTGTCAAGTTCGCCAAAGAGCTGCAACCTTCAAAGGCAAAACTTCCAATGGAAATCAAGTCTGAGATGGTCAAGTTCACCAGGGAGCTGCAACCCTGAAAGGCACGACCCCCGATGTGTGTCAATGAGTTTGGGATGGTCAGTGTCGCCAAAGAACTGCAATGCTGAAATGCAGCATTCCCAATGTGCGCCACTGAGTCTGGGATAGTCAAGTTCGCCAAAGACTTGCACTCCGCAAACGCATAATCCCCGATGTGCATCACAGAATCCGGGATGATCAAATCTGCTATAGAGCTGCAACCCCCAAAGGTATGATCCCCAATGTGGGTAACTGAATCCGGAATGCTCAAGTTCGCCAAGGACGTGCAACCTTGAAAGGCACAATCTTCAATGCGGGTCACTGAGTCTGGGATTCTCAAGCTCGCCAACGCGCTGCAAAACCGAAAGGCTTCTTCCCCAATATGGATCACTGAGTTTGGGATGGTCACACTTGCCAAAGAACTGCACCCAGTAAAGGCGAAATTCCCTATGTGGGTCACTGACTCTGGGATGGTCAGTCTGGCTAACATACAGCAGTCTCTAAGCGCACTCTCAAGAACTTGAACTTCATCATCTGGGAACTCAACTATGAGTAGAAGTTGGTCCACATCAAATTGGCGATGAAAGCTGCGCATTGCACCTTTGTTGTTGCATCTCACTGTGTTAGGCTGGAAAACAACACTCACAACCGAATCTGCAGCAAGGCCCACATCCGCCACCGTCTCATCATCGCCAAGCACATGGTCTCCAACAACAATCTTCACCCTGGTAGTTCTGCCAGTAACCTCGTCCCAATGCTGTTTTTCTCTAATTTGCCACTTGAGCTCTCTACCTGTTGTGCCTGGGTTCACTTCAACACGAATTTCCATCCCATTCACCTGGAGCGCTGAGATGAACATTGCCATGGCAAATTCAGAATCACTCCGACCAGGTTTGTTTTTTTTCTCTTGCTTGCAATGTGTTCAGTTTGCTACTGTAATGTGGGCACCATGTGATCAGCTTTGCACATGTTGGCTCCAAAATGCCACAGCGGGTTGCAAGTCCCATTGGCCAATCTAATTGGCCTCATTGTCACAGACTGGCCACCCAATACATTGAAATTGATACGCCCCAATCCGGAAGGACAACACAGTAGTAGTAGCAGCAGCAGCAGCAGTAGTAGTAGTAGTACTAGTAGTAGTAGTAGTAGCAGTAGTAGCAGTAGGAGGAGTAAGAGTAGTAGGGGTAGGAGTAGCAGCAGGAGTAGCAGTTGTAGTAGTCGAGTTGCAGTCGTAGTTGTAGTCACAGTTGTAGTCGCAGTAGTAGTCGTAGTAGTAGTGATGGTAGTAGTAGTAGTAGTAGTAGTAATAGTAGTAGTAATAGTAGTAGTAGTGGTAGTGGTAGTGGTAAAAGTAGTAGTAGTAGCAGCAGCAGCAGCAGTAGCAGCAGTAGCAGTAGCAGTAGTAGTAGTAGTGTTAGCAGGAACAGTAGTAGTAGTCGTCGTGGTGGTGGTGGTAGAAGTAGAAGTAGAAGTAGAAGTAGAAGTAGAAGTAGAAGTAGAAGTAGTAGTAGTAGTAGTAGTGGTAGTGTAGTCGTAGTAGTAGCAGTAGTAGTAGCAGTAGCAGTAGCAGTAGTAGGAATAGGAGTAGTACTGGCGCTTAGCAACAGCAGTGGGAGGAGGCGGCGGCGGAGGAGGAGCACCCGCAGGAGGAGTAGTAGCAGTAAATAGCAGTAGCAGTAGCAGTAGCAGTAGTAGTAGTAGTAGTAGCAGTGGTAGTAGTAGTAGTAGTAGTAGTAGTAGAAATAGCAGCAGCAGCAGCAGCAATAGTAGTAATAGGTTCCTTATCTTCCCAGGTGGCCCAGGACTTACTGTTGAGGTATACCGCCCAGGTTCTGGTTTGCTAAGGTTGATACGAACCTCATTGCACAAAAACGTGGTTTTCCCCACTTTCATGCAATACAGTACAACCCAGAATCCATAGACAGAAAGTCTTTGGAAAGTGGCCTCAGCAGGGAAGTGTGACAATTGGAAGCACGGCTGGAAGTCTCGATCACTTGAACCAAAATGTCTTAACACATTCATTCTGAAACCCGTTAGGTCGCTTTATATAGATCCAGTTACTTGGGTCCTGCAACTACATGCAGCAGCATGCAATTACATCACTACAATCTTGTTAATATACCAAACAAAAGCGCATAATGTTCAAGGAACTTGGCACCTTAAGTTTCAAGTTGAGGGATTCTTCCACTTCTCCCGGTTTATGAATGGACCAATAGGCCAAACGGTGACTTCCGGGTCTGCGAGCCGAATTCTGGGCAACGACACGTTGCATGACCCCACAATCTTTATTTCAAAAACAGCCGACTCAAGCAGTGCAAATACCAAATGATACGAACACATCTCAGAAGAATAACATACAAAGCCGCCTGTATTCGCTGGAGGCACAACCACACACTCGAGATATTGAGTACGGAAAGGACTTGCGGCTTGCCACACGCCAGCCTAAGTGAAAACCTAAGGTACCAGGGTAAAGTAAGTGAGAGTAGGTTGGAGGCCATTACATCAAGCTTGGAGGCCAGCACCTCCAAGTCGGAGGTCATCGCAACAGGTGGGAAGCCATCACCGTGGTTGGTTTCATGCGAAACCAGACTCACAGCAGCAAGACTCTCAAGGCTGGAGGCCATCACTAGTAGGGTGGAGGTCATCGCAGCAAGGTTAGAGGCCAGCAAAACTCAAAACACGAAACGCAAGTAACAGAACCATATGAACCATCATGAAAGCAAACCACGGCGAGAACAACAGGGAACCTTTTGGCGGGTACGCTTGCACGGGCCCCCGCCATTTAAAGACCAAAAAGATCCCCTGTGACTCCAAGGGTTCCACACACACACATGCACACGAGCCGGCGCACACTCACACATACACACCAAACAACCTCCATCTCGTCCAACTCTCGGTCACGCCCCATACGAAGCGGATTCGGACTCCACACGCCCCGCGGCTCGCGGCCCCGCTCCCGTCCGAGGGACACCAACAGCGTGGCATCCAACAGGGCCATGACCTGCACAGCATCGGAGCGGCTCTTGCGAGGCGCGAAGAAGCTGTCGTTCTGGTCCGCAAGGCTGCCCAGATGGACGTAGAAGGCCAGGAAAAAGACCCACAACTTGATGGTGAAGACCTCAAGAAGGGAAGCGGTTTGAAGCGGTTTGGTGTAGGATCTGAGAGGTTGAAAGCTCCCGACCTACCCTACCTACATGTACATCTGGGGGTAGATGGTCTTCCACACAAAGGGGTGTCATGGAGGGAAGACAGCCTCAAATGGAAGATGCGTTCCCTCACTACCAGTGATGGGGTCATTCTGGAGCCAACCCTTTGAACACCTTTGCGCCAACCCAACAGTTAGCCACTAGCCTCTTTCCAAAATATTCCAAATAGAAACCCTAGCCTCTGAAGGACACCTTGACCAGCAGCTCTCCAACAAGGTCTCTGAAGGATAGGTGTTTCGAGATATCCACCATTGGCGATTCACCCGTTCCACCATCAGAACCTTAAACACGCCAAACAAACCACACCGGCGATTTGAAAGGGGTCACCAACGGAAGCCCGGAAGCCCTACTGATGGATCTCCATTGGACACCCCTTGAAGCTCTTTCCGCCCTCCAGCTCCACTTCCGGTGTTCCTTCCCCCCCCGCAAGTCATCCCCTCGACTCGGAGTAACACCCTCTTCATCCCACCAATCGGCAGGGCCAAAGTTGTCCAGCAAGTCATACAGGACCCTCCAGGACCTCAATCGTGCCCCGCTGCGATGACGTGGTCCGACTTGCGCAGGCATCGTGGCGGTCGTGCCGATGACGTGTGTTTGTTTTTCTCCTGCACTCTGTCCATTGGCTGCAAAACCAGTGGTCGCCCCGGTGCACCAGTTTCGGTCCCGAGTGAATGAAGACGGAGATCATCATCCAGCGTGTATAATTTGTTGGATTTGGGGACCATTAGTAATTACCGTCTACTCTCAACTGACTCTGTGCAGATGCTGCTTCCTCATCGCAATGTGTCGCTGGCTAGCTTCCATTCAGACACATTCATTGCGAGCGGACCGTTTCCTCAGCTGCCCACACCGATTCCAAGAAAGTCTTCTGGATGCGCTGCTGATCCAGCACCCTGGCTTCACCCAAGTCGTTCATGTCCTGAGAGGAACGCCCTTGCACAATGCAGAAGTCCGCCCGAACGGTGATCTTGCGTGCAAAAACTTCTTGATGTGTAGCAAGAAGCTTAGCTTAGGGAGGAGCTGCTTAAACTTACTATTGGCTAATTGACCCGACCTCTTGAATCAACCAATGCAGGACACTCCAATAGCACTTTGGTGCTTCGGTGACAGGAACTGATGGACAACAACCTGTCATCCAGCTCATATGTCTACAGTATACCAACAGTCCAGCTGGTAAAGTAAGGGTAGAAATGTCATAAATCACCGGTGGTTCCCTACTGTCAACGGGATACTATCTCACTCCAGCATCGCAAATGCCAATGCCAAGTCTCATCGAAGTTGATTCCACCTGTGAAAGGGTTGGTGTTCTTCCGCATTTCGTCCACCCCCGCATGGAGCAAGTCACAGTCCTAGGCAGCACCGAAGCTGGGGATGATTGACGTATGTTTCGAGGGTGATTATAATATAGCCACAATTCAGACACTCTCTCCCGTCAGAAGCCTGACTGAAGCCATGTGCAAATGGCTTATGCATCCGGGGTTGTAATTATTGGAAAACACCACGCTCAGTTCGTCCAGGTTGAAGGACAGCCAAATGGAATTGCAAACAAAATGCCAGTGCTTTCCAGCCTGAAAGTTTGCCAAACAACGAGTCGGTCATTTTAACCACTCGTCTGACGAAACGCTTTCCCAAGTCAGTTCAAAGGCTTGGATGAGTTGAAGCCTGGTCGATTGCAGTAGCTGCTCCCGAAATGGCACCACTAAAACCGGAGCAACCACGGTGCCCTCACCCAGTCCACTTCATCCAGCACCGGTGTTGATCCCAAAGCCTCCCGGGCATTCCAAAAGACGCGGACAACCAGCGCCCACTGCCAAGCCACCAAGGTGAACGAGGTCGCCTCCCGCAACATCGCCTGAGCACTACGCACCACGCAACACGCACCACGCATGCCACGCGTGTTGGGCTTCCTGTTCAAGGTCCCCGGTCCGAGGTGAAAAGAACAGGTAGAGATCGGAGCAAGAAGAATCTCTGGACTTCCACAACTTGATTCTTGAATTCAGCCAAGGTCCTTGCGATTAGTTTGGGTCTACCTATCTCATTCCTTTCCGTAGCTAGACAGCCAGCAGCCGAGGCCGGGCGGATCGATTTCAAGATGATGGCATTCGCCCTTAAAGACCCCCCTTACTGCACTTTCAAGATCTTCAAATCATAAACTGATCTATACACAATCTGAGGACATCTTGCTTCTCCCAACCTCATCTGAGCCGGGAACATGAGGCCGACCCGCTTCCCCGCCCGTCCGACCTCCCCCCACGGACCTCGGCCTCGGCCGATCCGGACCACGGCACGGTGCGGTCGTCGTTCGGCTGCGCCCAGCGAAGCTGGTGGAAGATCATGGCCAAATACTCAGGGGCGTGCCTCGTCCGGAGGATCCGACCACGCCCAAGCAGGTGGTGCGTAGGTCGACCCTTGGAATCGCTTGGAATACAAGGGGAAGTGGACCTCGGCCCTCGGCAAAATGGACGGAACAAGCTCACCAACAAAGATCCTGATCAGTTGTTGCTTTGCATACGCATGGTGTGTGATGGTGCGCGCAATGGAATTAAAGCCGCCTTAGAAGTTTGTGTACCTGCAAAACCCGGTTGGCGAGAGGCTACGTACATACTCCCACTCAAAAACACAACAGCACCTGTACCCTCGCTTTGCCGGCTTCCCATGGGCTTCAGCGATTCGGCGCATCTAGGCAAGTCTGAGGGTCAGTGGGGACAGGATCTGGTCTCATTGGGAGGGCATCCTGAGTACCTGTATTGAAAAGCACGACCCAATCCCAAAAACATGTCGAAGACCTCTAAATACGGGTTTAATAATAGGCGGAAGGGATTTGGTTGATTGATGTTGATTGTCTCATTCTCCCTTTGCCCCCGCCCTACCTCAAGTCACACCCATAAAAGTCGGTGCTGAGTTGTGCCCTGTCAACCAGCATGTGGTGCCCTTTAGCGTCCTTGGCCCCCGCACAGCGCGTGCTCGGAGAGGCTCTCGATGATGCGCAGCAGCACCTTTTTGGGCCGCTCATGGTGTAACTTCCACGTGGGTGAGAGAAACACAACAACATGCGACGACTGGCAGATTGGAGCGTCTGCCATCTGGTCACCATTTGAAGAGGCGCTCATCGAACGGATCTGATCCGTGACGTGGGGTCTAGGCGGCAAGTCTCCAAAAAGTACACAAAACTCCTCTCCAAACATGGCGTTCCATGTGGTTGCGAAACATCCTCTTCCAAATTCAATACCTTTCAAAACCCTTGGCAGTGCGTTGACCTGATTCTTTGGAGTGTATGAATGGCGAAGTAACGCAAAAACGATGTAGGAAGGGGGTCGTCGTACTGGGGAGCTTTGAGGTTGTGATTTAATATCTCCCATCGATGTGAAAATCTTCATGGCACCTTCAATGCGGTGTCCTCTTCTATCCCACCTATTCAGCCCAGGAGCCGCTTCAGTGAAGAGCATCCAAAGAGGCCGCTCCACGTCGTTGTCACCCAGCAAAGCCTTCAACTGCAAGTCCTGGAGGCGGCCATTCAGTAAGCCCAAACTGGGTACGAATTCTTTGTCCTCATTCCATCGGCCCAATAGGGAGGGGCCCATAGGCCAGCTCCCTCAACACTTCGCCTTTTGCCCCCCCCTGTTCGCCCTCTCCTTCTCCCTCAAGTCCCGCTGTGTTTCAAGCCACCTGAGCCCCGCTCCGGACCGACGCTCGACTCACCGACTCCCTTGAATTCGCTGCTTGGACCAACTTCGCACTGGGGCGCCAAACGCTAAGTAGCCTTCCAAGACGCGCGCGTGAATGTGCACCATCGCCTCATGTTCCGCGTTCACGCGCAGCACGCGCGGTCACGGGGCGAGTGCGAGTGCGGGAGCACCGGTGCTGCGGCCAACACGAGATGAACAAAGAGTCCTGTGGAGGGACGCCGGAGGAGCGGTGGGTCCCCGGCGGAATCGAACATGGCACGGATCGAGAGGTTCGTCCGAGAGCGAGAGGTGGTCCCCGACTGGCAGACAGTTGCCATCGCCCGATGTGGCGGTGGACTGAAGGCACGTCACAAGTGCTCTGAACTTCACTTTGTTGGCACTGTATGACTGCACTCCTCACTGCCAATGAGAGGCGTTCAGTCGTGTCAGCGCCATGGGTAAATGGAACTAAATGGAGCTACAAACATGATCGGTCACAACCAAGTCTGAGCGCCAAGCTCTTTTGATGCACTCGGACTCTGCTAAGCCATTGCCCTCCTCATCCACTGCTCTAGCCTCAGCCTCCACCTCACAAGAGTTCAACTTTACAAAGGTCGAGCTACGACGATGTTGGCTCTTCAATCAACATACGCACACAGAGACACACATCCCTTTAATTAACTCAATGCGTGTCAATGAGACGAGAAAAATCTCGGCCGAACGAAGAGTATGGCCCCAACCATCTGGGAAAGTTGGAAATGAGGACTTCTTCTACCAGGAGGATTTCTTAATAGGAACGTTGTGTGGAGAGGCGTGCCACCAGGAGCCGTAGATCTTCCCGGCTTACATCAGCTTGCCCATTGGATGCTTCATGTAAGTTAAGATCCTCCAGCAAATCGATCTGTGTGTCTGGGGATGTGGGGAATTTGCAGTTTGCCCCATTGCCCCAAAAAGTCGATCATAAAAGATATCCCATTTCTCTTAAAAGCCTCAAGGATAGTGTTCACACTCTTGGTAGAAGATCCAAGGATACACTCTGACTACCTGAAACGGAGATGGACAACGGCCGTTGGGATGACGATTTCTCTACGAGAGATCAAAAATGAAGACTCTTGATTAACAATACCCCCCTTATGAAGAGGTGTGTCAATTCAATTGGGGGAGGTTATCAATCAAGAGTCTACATTACAAGTGTCATTGATATTGATATTGGCTATTGGCCTTACCCCGTTCCCTGTCCAACGGCACGGCGAGTTTGGCCTGGAGCCTCAGTCGTCTAGATTGCGTCTTCGCATGCGTTTCCGCGAAGAATCCTCAGGCATCCCGAGCCCAAAAAACTGCCACACGCGAATCACTGACTGTGGCCACAAACTGCAATGGAAACTGGTCCTTCGTCTATAGGGATGAAGAGCTTCTTCCACGTGAATCGGAGTCTGTGTTCTCCTTCTACCCGTGTCCTGTCAATCATTCATGTATATTCATGTTTGCAACCATTTCAAGTAGAATGTCCAGCTACCCTAGTTCATCTGAAAATGAAGAAGTGGCCCACGCAACGACCAGAAGCGAGCATAAACACCTTGACCGAGGTCATAGCCCGAAAACTGCCAAACCCCCCCAGGCGTAAAACATAGACTCGATAGACTTAACAATACTGAATACACCTTAACCATCCTCAACCCCGCTGTTTGGAGATCCGGCTCCGTGTTCCGCGTTCCGCCCCAAAGGGCCGATGGCCAAGTGTCTAAGCGCTTCCGTGGTAAATTGCACCTTCCCTTCTCGCACGACTGAGGCGCGGAGGTTCAACTGCACCTGTTTGCGGGGGGCGACATGGTGGGACGGAGGAGCCCGACATGGTGGGACGGTGGAGTGGAACCGCAGGGACCCAAGGTACACTTATGTAACACTTTGACTCACGAATCTCACGAACATAAGAAGTCGTGGATGGCATGGGCCCTTGCTGGTCAGACGGACTATTGGAGGGTGAACTCCACTTCCAATGGAACGTGAGGGGTGATGTGTAGTGATGGTTCTTGTGCCCCCACGGTTTTGATCAGGGCCCTGCTCGCACTGCGCCTGGCAGGCAAACAAACAGGCCAACGCACAAGGGGTCGAGATGTCGGAATCGAACCACTTCAATATTTCCCAGACACTCCATGGGACTGCCATATATGCCGTATATGCCTACATTGGGGTGGTTTGGGGGGTCAATGTAGGCATATATGGCATACATGGAAGGTGTTTGGGTTTTCGTTTTGGAGGTCCCCTTCTAAGCTTGACGGGACTTTTTCGGCTCGCGTGTACGATTCATGGTCTCCCTGGCAGCTTCGCTGTGCGAGTAGGACCAGTCTTGACCGACACAAGGCCGGGCGTGCTTGCAAACAACGCTGGCGGAACACCCCTTCTTCCAAACCAGCGCACCCCACGTCGACCCATGTCCTCTCACAACAAGGGTTTCTCCCTCAGTTCCGCTTCACGGGCTAAAAGGCTCTGCAGCTCTTCGCCTCCCTCCGCTTGCAGTGCCTTCCAACGCCGGTGTAACTCCTGCAAGGCCTTGGCTCCTCGCAAACCCTGCTCCTCCACCTGTTTGCGATGGGGTGGTGGTGCTTGGAACTGGCGCCGGCATGGCCGTGGATCCCCATGTGTTTCTGCCTTTGTCGCGTGCGTTTGAGGAAACCTGGTCACAGCCCAACGAGTCCAAACACTCACAGAAATTGTTGACATCTCCAGGGTTGGACACTAACTATACTCAGTTTATGGGGCCGGTAGCCGTGCCTCTGGACGATGTGCTTCTTGGAAGAGCTGCCAGGCCGTTTTTGGCTTCGCCGCCACCGGTGCCTTGGGAGGCTCCAGCTGTACTGGCTCCTCAGTTCCCGCCAAGCGCAGAAAGCCTGGATCTTCCAACAGCCGTGCTGGGGAAAAGCCTCAGTGAGCACCCTTCAGAATCAGTCCAACAATAACCGGCAATTCCTGGGCCAGTGAAGCCATTCGCGTTTCCAACAGGATATGTTTTGCTTTCCGGGTGGTGCAAGAGCAGCGCAACAGGATGTGGAATCTGGACAATGAGGCCTCCCTCTACTAGTCTTGAACCCAAAACTGTTGGGCCGTTCAGGACCTTGATCTGCTTAATTTCTGGAGCCTGTCAAGGTGTTGTGAAGGTCAAATGCTAATGGTACAGGATGTGGAAACAGGATCCACGAAAAAATACGTACCGTAACGACCCCCTTGGAAATCGCAAAGATTATACAACTTTGAGATTTGCATTGTGTTGAGACGGTTCAGGTTTTGTAAAGGTCAAACGGCAAGCCACTGCAAACCGGGCCGCGCGTGTACTTTATTTATACATGTAGCAACTATATCATGTATGCAACAAAAACATACGTTAAGGTAGGACAGTGATGAAAACAGAATGCTGATTCAAAATGAAATAGACTAAGCCGGAAAAGTGAAACACTTCAGACCAAGGACGCTCCAAGGGATTCACCAGCAGCATGGTCCTGCACACCACTTGGAGAACCTCCGAGTCACTCACCACTGCGCTCACTGCGCTCGTCTCCTCGATGGGATCGTCCACCGAGCCCAACCATCGAAAAAAGTCCATCAAACCTTCTCCATCCGCACTTGCAGTGCAAAAGTGCTCAAACTTCTCTTGCAGTAAGGGTTTGAAGAGCTTCATCTCAAGCACACCTTGGATTGGCTCTGGAAAGCCGTCACACATCGTCAAACATGTCAAACCTAAGCCGATTCACCCATCTTTGTCATTGTCACTTTGGGAATTACAGAATGGCCAGCAAGGAACGAAATCAAGTATTGGTGTGAGTCTCAGAACAAGGAAGTCCACTAGGTAGGGGACGCCCAAAGTGCATGGTGTCCATCAGGAGGGATTGAAAGTTGGGGGGTCCCTTTGCTCTTTTGAGGCAACATGGACATACGTGGACGAACCACGATCAACTGCTGAAACAAACCCAGGACACAAAGTCCTCCAGCCCAAATATCCAAACTCCGCGAAAGCCTCAAAGGACCCTCCTCCGCCACTGCTGCAGCCAGCTCCGGTGCAGCATAGATGGCAGTATAGAAGTCGGCGTCCCTGATACGCGAGTGGCTGCTGGCGGGGGGGCACTCATCCAGCAACGGTTGGGCAGAGATGGTCAAGGGAGTGTTTGGCTCAAGGAAGCTCGTGAAACATAATAGGACATAGGATATAGTAGTTATACTACTAGGGGCACACTTTGCGTCCGCTATGCATTGATGACATATCGGGGTTGGCCGCTAGTGTCCTGTCGGTCTTCCTGAAACACACAATGACGAAAAACGCCTGCAAACGTGCACAAGTTACGTCAGATTAGCCATTTTTTCTCTCCACACAATCAATCCCTTTTGGCTTCATGTTTGCCTTGTTCACCACTATGGCTGCAGAAGTACATCCCGCCTCATGTCGACCAGTTCGGAAGGTACGCGCAGCCCATCCATGTCAATCAGCTTCCAACGACCCAAGGTTTCGAACCACATCACGTTCTGAGGCTTCAAGTCCCCGTGGACGAAAAAGCGACTGTGCAGAAAGGCCAAGGCAGCTGTTATGTGATGCAAAGCTCGTGTCAACTGCTCCTCAAGCTCGAGATCAGATCTGCAAAAGTTGAAGAAGAGGCTACGGTAGGCTACGGTACAAAACGCAGCTCCAAAAAATTTTGCGAGGAACACCTGGCTATCGCTCACATCGCTTGTTTTTGCTCGTTGGCCAATCCCCAACCAAGTTGAGGTGCTGATCACTGACCGAGTCCTTTGGTGCTGTTTGTTGCGCTTAATTAGCGGAAAGGTCATCCTTGCAGGTTTTGTGACATCGGTGTCCCACTACATTGTTCACCGCGCTTTGCGGCCAATGCACGCCGCTTTGTCAAGCTCTTGGCATATAGATGATATCCAAAAAGCACATGCATATGATGTTAGTATATAGGCCCATGATCAAGGAACTGTCCCATTAGTAAGGTCCGTCTTTTTTTCTGCAATACGTACCGCCTTATTGTTGACACACACACACACACACACACACACACGCACACCTTCTGGCCCATTTGCCAAAAGTTGGTACCCAATAACCCCCACCCTCCCCAATTAGTAAAGTCCTGCTTCCTGAAAATCCTGCAGTACTGATCACCTCTCTTCCCTTTCTTCAACCTTTTATTAAGTTGTTCTAATTCCATCTGATTACCTAGGAGGATTTAATTCATTCATGAATTGATCAATGTCCGTTTTCTCCTCCAACCCGACTTCCCCAAAAACACCTTTTGCTCATGCCTTGGGATCCCTCGTAAAGAGAACTAAGTCTTTGGGATCCTACCTCATGATGGACCCCGAAAGAAAATGGTGGTTTCCACTCCAATTTGGCTCCCCAAACCCTCCGACGCTCCTGGGGGGTATATAAGTCAAAATAGGTTTACAATAGATTTAGACCAAGCCAGGCTGCACAGAGTCACTCAAAAGAGGTCAATTCTAAACCTTTCCATGGAACCATGGAACTGGGAACTTCAGCAAACTTGCTGGCTTTTGTGACCATCAGAACTCCTGCCTCAAACACAGCAAAACAACCACTTCCGGAGCATTGTATACAATCAGCCCCAGTACAGAACACACCCTTGCTCCTCCTTCTGCAAGCAATGCAGTTTCTTGTCCCTGGCCGCATCCTTCGCAGCCAGGATCAAATCATGAAGGGTGAAGGTGCCAAGCTCCAGGACACTCCACCTCAAGAAACCCTTGACTCTGACTCGCAACTCGGACTCCCAACTATATAAATGCTCCTAGGCCCTAGGTGCACTGTCAACACTAGAGTTACATGCTTGGCGTTCGCCTTTGCAATTTCGTGACAGTGTTCCGGATTTCGCTGAGATAGATGTTTCGAAAGCCACCAAAAAATCACAAAACAAGGGAGACCCATCAATGTAGGTTCTTGATTGTTAACCCCCTATGCCCTATGCAAAACGGTGTGTCAATTCAAATGGGTTCCTTAATCAAGAGTCTACAATAATTAATCATTTTTCGTGGTTCCACGTTAAGCTCTTCCAACTCCGCTGGGGCACATCTCCTCCGAAGCCGTCAAGTCTGAATGCGCCAAAAGCTCCACGAAGAACTCCTGAGGCTTCGAGGCCAGGCCTCTTTGTCCATACTCCTCCGTGCCCATCAGCACTGTGGGTGATGTCTGATATCTGCTCCTCGGACTGACCGAGGAAAGCTCCCTCGGAACCAGAAAGAGCGCCTCGAACAAGAAGACCTCCCGTCGAAACTTCGCCTGGTCGCACGCTTTCAGCGCCTTCACTGCCACCGCCTTTCCTTCAAAAGTGAGGCAGGAGGGAAGAAATCGATGATCGATCGATGTCTATATCTATATATGATCATATCGGATCAATGCATTCCCTAGATTCAATATTATTCCATGCATCAGGCTCCGGCAACGTCCCCCAGTTGCATATCACGTTAATTCCTTGGAAGTGTCTTGCTTTTGGGGGGGCCAGATGTTCAACTAACACCAAAAAGTTCCAAAAATGGATTGAATCAGCCACAAGTGTCCGGTCGAGATCTCAACACCTCTCCTGACCATGCTGAAGTTCCCGACCCCCAAGACATCAGTGCCTTGCACAGTAAATCGTTCCAAGACCGTCTTACTCCAGGCCCAGTTCTCCTCAGGAGAGACCTCTGAAGCGTTTTGTGCTGGCGGAATGCCCGACCCTTCAGGCGGCCCTTGGGGCTGCCCATCACCTGGAGTAGGAAAAGACATGGGGAAGAAAGACCCCCAAAAAAATCTCCCAAATCAGTATTTGATGGTAATTTCGAATCTTCACCAAACATCCATATCATACATCTCGAGAGCCGTCAAATGCAGGTCGCGTCACCGGAGAGGCAGGAACTGGCTGCCTCCGGCGCAATGGAGGCTCCACAGCCCATGTCCTTCCTTTGGAAGGAATACCCATGAGCTTCGAGCCGACAGCGGCGCCACACACGGCTCAAGACAGACGTCACACCCTCGGAGCCAAACGCCCCCGCCCTCATCGAGGCGGCGCCAGGCGGGCGCCCTCGTCGGCACCGGGGGGTTCCCCCGTGGGTGTTGTTTCTGGTTCAGGCCCTGAGGTGCCAAGCGACCTTTTTGTTCATGGGTCCGATGTGTCATGATGTGTCACCAAGGGACGGCCTTGGGAGTTTCCACATCTTCGCTTCGTGGAAGCGCTTCTTGCCATCGCGTCTTGCCATGACTCACAAATGAGTTTCATGATGAAACTGGAGGTTACTGGCCGTATCTGCACATCTTCATCACTCCATCTCCTGAAGTTCCTTTGCATGCTCCATGGTGCACCACACATAGTATAACAAAGCAGCTCTGCTCATGCTGACTGCATGCCTTCTGAGAACTATGTTTCTGGAAATGCCATTATAACATTGACTTCCGAAACCTATTAGCCTGCGAATTCCTGTGAAGCACCTCAACACCAATGCTGGCTGATCGACATCATCGTTTGCACTCATCAGATGACTTTCTCCGATACTATATCCCAACCAGCACAACAGGCGTTGTGAATGATCAAGAAAAGGGCATCCAGGCTCTTGCGGTGCCGCCTTTTTGTAAATGGAACGGCCATGAATGTATAGTAGTATAGTATGATATACTACATCACGCTGTCGGTTGGACTTGCATCGTTGGAAAGGGTTCCCATTCGCTAGCAGCCTCTACGATATCTTTTGAACTCACGGCGACCACGGGTGTTTGTTCACAGGGCGCATGGATCATGGATCTTGTCCTCCAGGGTTCCGTTGTGTCTTGGAGTTGCGTTGCTTTTGATATGCTGGTCAGGCCCTGAGGGCTGGTCAGGCCCTGAGGGCCGGTCAACATTGACTATTCCCCAAAGCTCTTTCCCAAACAAACGGCCTTTTTGGTGCCATGACCAGGTCTGCTTTTCGATTTGTCTGCGGATCCGGAATCACCCAACATCTCCACTAGAACACACCGTATCCCAGTTCCAGGGCACCTGTACATTGGCTTCCCCCACGATCTGCATGGGCAGCGGAATGAAGACCTCTGCCTCACGAAGACGCGGCGTTTGAAGAATTCTGAAGACATCCAGGTGCATGACAGCGGGTAGAGATCAGATGAAACGACCAAGTGGAACTGGCCTAGCCATGGTAAAACACCATGAAAAGTACTTAACCTCAAACAAACAGCCTACAACAAACAGCCCCAAAGAACCTAAAGAAACAACCCCTCTGGCACGCAGAGCTTGGGTCATAGCACCCGGTTACCTCAGCAAAACGGGGCAGAGTTCACCAACCTGAACATTTGGATTGATAGGCATTCGTAAAGGTCAAGAATGAAGAAACCAATCATCCAATCCCAAGTGCTGCCTGTGCAGTTGCCACCTCGAAGCCGTTGGGCGCAGCCGCGACACAGCCCAACTCCAGGGAGATGACATCCCTGGCGGTGGGTTTTCAAACCAACCGGAGCCCTGCTTGACCCTGGTAGGTTTGGGTCGGGTTGACCTCCTGACACCTGACCCATGCAAATGTCGGAGGTCGTGCTGGCTGTTAGAGGTGTCAGAGGGCTTCGGAATCAAGTTGCATTCAGTGGAATTGCCTCAAGATCGGCAGAATGGAACTATATATATATAGGAAGTTTCACAAAAATTCTAGACCAGCATCTCCAGGATCCGGCATCAATAAACTGGCATACCTCAAATGTGGCCCTCCACTTCCGTTGGCTCAAACAGATCGCATGTTCCAAACAAGGTGGTTCCCACCCTCTTGCTAGCCTTTTCAGGGAAACTTGGACTCTTCGAAACAAGCCATGACGTGTTTCGAACCACCATCTTGCAACCGTCCATTGGACCGACGACCACGGTCACGTGAGAGGACCACGGTCAAACTCGTGCGACCGCAGACTCGGCCGCCTTCCTTCGCCGCACTCGGCATCCAGTAGGCCATTGCCAGCCTGTGAGGCCGGCGGGCCGGCGCGGGACTGTGACATGGAAGACAGACTCAAGAGGGTTTTTGGGGAGAGTGCCGGGCGACCTGTTGCCATATCAAGAGTAAGACAAGAGATATATTATATGGTGAGATGTGTATATATATATATTGTAGCATTATATGACTATAGACTATATTATATTGACATATGTTAAACAAATTAAATTGTGTTACTTGCTCACACACTTTGCATGACATGATATGACAATGCCTCCTGGTGGGCTCAAGGAAGTACCTCCACGAAGGATTATGCCAGTGTTATGACTCACAACTCATGACTGACAACAACCATTCTTTTTTTGTGCCTAAGTCAAGCTGCTAGAAAAATCTCGAGTCTGGTAGCCACGTGGGCGCATGTGGATCAAGGAAGTCCTCAAACGATCGAGCACTTGCGGGGACGTTTCTGCTGATGAATACATTCCCAGGAGCTCCCTCCCAAGTGCTGGGAGCTCCCTTCCAAGTCCCGGGAGCTCCATCCAAGTCCCTGGAGCTCCCTCCCAACCACCAGCAGTTCCAACAAAGCTCTTGCAGTTCCGCTCCACATCTTCCCCAGTAGAAGTGCCCCCCTCTTTGCTTTCCTTTGACCCCGCTGACCGCATCCGACCGCATCCTGCCATGCTGTGCCTGTTGAAGACGCCCCAAGGGTCGGCTCACATTCGGGCGCCCAGATTTGCCTGCGCTGGTGGCACCCAACAAACATCCGACGTCTTCTCCACCAGCAAGTCTTGCCCATGACCGAAAACAAACAATAACAAACAGATTTTACTCCTAAACTCCTAAACTATGGGAAGCCCTGGGGTTCTGAGGGCCTCGGAAGTTGCTTTGCCCACTGAAGTGGTGGTGACATGGAACATATTGTTCATTATTTTTCTGTCCATAATGGCGAACCGACCCGCGGATACTGGAGAACCTCAAATGTTGGTAGCGGTTCTACGTAATAGTAGGGATTCATGTATATCATGTATTGGCAGAGTATCATGCTTTTGTTTGGTTGATGTGCCGTATTCACAAAACACGCACCCGTGCGCAACTTTTGTACCAACTGAGGATCTCATGCGATGCAACAGGAGACAATCCAAAACAACAGGGACTTGAGTACTCCAACCACAATCTGCTGGAGCCGCTGGATATCTGGTTCCCATCAACTCACGAAAGACGTCTTGGGGAAGGCCATGGTTGTACTCCTCACACACTCCCATCGCCCATCTCTCCAAGGCGCGGAAGCAACAACAGTGACACAAGTAGAAGATCTCCAGGCAGGCACCACACAACAGTAAGCCGACGTTGAGAAGGAGAAGCCACCAGCTCTCATGCATGACGGCCTCGAGTCGAACTCCGCCCTCGAGGCCCGAAGTCGGACGGCAAGCCGAAAAGAACACACTGCCCACACCCACAGACAAACCCATCCGGGAGAAACATGCTCAATTGTTCCGTCACCAAGCTGCACAATAGCCTCCAGGCAACTGCTTCCAAATCATCTCTTCCGCTGATTCAGGGTCAATCATTTGTTCGAAGCGAAAACCCAATGACCCGATAGTGGAACCCTTGGTGGGATGCTCTCGATGATAGCGCGGATCAAGGCAGTGGAAGCTCAGGAAGGTGTACTGACCATTTAGGCCAAACCACTCCTGCAACTGAGAAGCCGTCGGACAAAGCGCACGGCCCCCGGGATGTTGTGGACCCCTTGGGGGAATGCGGACCCATTTTTGGGGCTCCAGTTGTACCTCCTCAGAAGGTATTGGGACCCTCCAAACCCATCCCAAACACCGTCTGAGAAGCCCCTTGGAGCTGTAGGGTATAATGAAATCTTGCCTAGTTTAATGTCAACACAGGATTGTGCAGACAGTCATCATGTCCTTTGGCCGAACCTGCACCTGGGCAAACCTGACCAGGGCACCAAGAGGTTGCCCCTCAGGACGGACCAGGCCACCGGCACAACAGTGGACGGGGAAGGGCTGACAATCCCCACATCATTTTGTTCGCGCATGAGGGCAACACGCCTATAATAACCGCCCAGCCTTGCCGAACACACCCTTGCTGGCGCAGGCCTTTCGCCAGGGCATGTTGTTCCTTGCCAGAACCCCCGCTACTACTCAAGCCCAGGTCCCCCTGGAAAAAAGAAACATGATGTGTTTTCTATTCACTTATTTATACTTTTTTATTATTCAATATCTTTTGGTCGATGGTGAAACTGATCTTCCAATCCACCCTTGTCTCATGCTATCTCTTTGAGAGAGATAGCTCTCATAGTTCTCGTGGTTCAATCTCTCATGATACAGAATCCCATCAAACATCATCCATCATCAGGTCCAGGTCCTCATCTCATCATCCATCATCAGGTCATCATCTTTATTAAGGGGATGTGGTCTGCACCTAAACCTTGTTGACCTTGTTGACCTTGAAGGGGGGGAGGGTTGATTAATCCGGTGTCGACATTAAGGTCGTGACTCACCTGTGAGGGACGAAACGACTCCTGCCCGTCCTGGTTGATGGTGCGCCCTGGCCGCACTTCATCGCAAGGTCCCTGGTGAGGGTGCTGAAAGACACTGCCCGGACAGCTTCTCTTCACCGACCGGCCCCAATCATCCACCCACTCGTCGATGATGAATCCGCCCTCGGCACAGCTACTGGAGTTCAGGACCTCCGCGTAGACTTCGCCTGAAATACCAACGAAAAGGGGTGTGTACGATGTCATTACTATGTACAGAGTTGGCTGAGCTTTGGAATATATCATCAAACTACAGATCGCAGTGATGGCTGGGTCACAAGGAGATGCATGGAAATGCTACCTTCCAACCAATACCTGACCACTCGCCAAGTACGCGACACTCAGAAAGCACGGAGACAGGATGCCTGTGAGCCTCTGCTGCAAAGCTGGGTCGACAGACTCTGTGGCCTTATTGAACTCAGGTACTGATTCAGGTCCATCTGGTCCGCTTCGGTCCACTTCGGGATTTGCCGGGGCAGGCCAGGTCCATTAGGCTTGTGATGGATTCCACTAGCTTCATATTCGTCCATCTGCAGCCAAAGGTTCAAGAGTCACAAGCTAAGCTAAGCCAGGCATCTCCAATCTAAGACAATGATCTGTTCAGTCCCAAATTGCTGGAGATTTGTGTTCCCACTATCTTCATCTCTCGTCATCGAGTGGAGTGGGGTGGAGGTTGACCTCATGGATCCACCCGAACCCCATGTTCTACTGCCGTTGACCTCCAAAAAGGTTCCTCTTCCAAAGCCCAGTGCGCTTCTTGATGCTTCTGGCCCTTTCCCTTGACCAAAGGCTTAAGGTTCCGAGACTCAATAGAACCCGTCTTCGAGGAAGTTCGATGAATTTTTATCCTATTCCATTCCATCCTTCCTTCTACAGTACAGCACGAGCTGGACGGCAACATGCAATCTTCTGCATACAATATAGGACCAATACAGGACAGACCTCTAAAACATTCTAAAACTAAACCAAGTCAACAAAACTGAAGGCACTTCATGTGATCAAGTCCTAGCCCCCACTAGCCGCTAGCCCCGGAGATCCTCCGCCTTTGCCCCAAGGAGCCGAGCCATAGAGGGGCGCCTCAGCGGCGAAGCCGTACTGCGCCAAGACCAGCTTTTGCGTCGGGTAGGTGCATCCTGAAGTGGCCAAAGCCGGAGGGATCGGGAGGTCGTCTTCGTCTTCGTCTTCGGAGGTAGCGCGCGAAGAGTTGAACACTCGAACAGCCTGTTTGGGGGGATACTTTGTTCTGAGGCACCTGCCTGAGGTTTGGCGGCCTGGGATACCGGGGATGACATGAAAGTGAGCATACCCAGGTCGCCCCAAATTTAGAAGCTTCCTCCTCAAGCACCCTCTTCAGGCGATGAACTGTGACGGAAACGACGGTCGACCTGTTGGGTTGCCAAAGCCCTGACTCTTCCAACACAGAGGGTGCGATGATCTTCAGCCCAAATCCTTGGGGCGGCTGTAGCAGATTCAATCTCACCCCTTCTCGGCCCCTTCACGTGCGTGATAGGCTAAGCATGGCGATCGGTCGGCGCAGCGATGATCGTCCGTCTGGCCGCTCCTTTGCATAAAGTGGCACCCTCAGGGTTCTGCAGGGTTTGGGTGGACAAATCCTTCCACTCATAGCCGCTGTCACTATCGCCAACTGTCGCCTAGGCCAAGCGGATGGAGACGCGTGGGATGTTGGTGCGTCCTGTTAAAGCCCAGGCCAAAGCCAGTTGCTGTGTGCTGCTATAGGTTTTGCATAAAGCTGTGCATGTTAGCAAAGATAGTAGTGTCTAACCAATTCCAGCCGGATTTGGCTGAGCTGGGCAGACTAAACCAGTCCACTCATCAGGTGAAGTAAGATTAAATATGCCTCGTGCTTTTGGACTGGAGCGCACAATTTCCGCCCCCAAGGATGAGCTGAGATACTCTTTTCGGTTGAGTTAATATAGTAATTCATAATATAGTAATTCTGGATAATTCGGGATACACCACCTGGACCTCTCAAATTCACTACATGCACGCTGAAACACCACATACACCTTCTTCTTCCATCAACCCTTCGCTTCATGTCACTAGTGTCTCAGATTCTCAGCGCCAAGTCACATTAAAGTAAGAGAGCTGACCTAGGAGCTCCTTTTGACCCAACCTGCCCGTGGGCGGCTGGGCTTCTGCAATCCACACATCGAAGGCCCCCAAGGGGCGCAGCTGATTGAAGGAGGATTCGTTGATGGCTAAGGAGAGCTCGTCAGTGGGCCAGGTTCCCCAGATTGTCTCCTGAGTTGCAGCAGTGAACGAGCGGCCCACGAAAGAACCAGAGGCAATCAGGCGGCCCACGCTCATGAGGAGAACCCAACAATCTGCGTACTGTTCGATTCTGGATCAAGTCAGTGACCAGCCTAACCTCAATTGATCTTTGCATGGATTTGCTAAAGTTATCGTTTTTGGGAGTTCACTCTATCGTTTTCAAACACCTGCCAAATGGGTGCGGCCACACTTTTACTTTTAAATCTCGACCTCAGCTTCTTCACGTGTGGTAGCTGAGCACCTACACGCAATAAGCGATGAACCTTTTCATTTGCAAAGATTTCTCTCACAAATCTCTTCACATCTGGGCCATCCATCACAAGAGCACATGTCTGTTCAACATGGTTATCGTTTAGTCGTTTAGTTACAGTATCATGGTTATCGTAATCTTTCCAATCTTGATACATCTTGGGGAAAATAACGTGGGAATTCACATGTTTGCAAGAAGGCCTGGAACGTGCGAGACTATGCTCTCTACAACATGCTACGAACATATTACATAATTAATATAGGAATGGTCGGGGCGCTGTTTTCGCATGGGAAACGTGTCCATGTTTGAATGCTACACTACCTGTTCCCCCATTCCATGCACCACTATGCTGTCAGGAAGCGCAGGTGCATGAAGGTGCTGGTCTAAACGCAGTATATACGTGCTATCACATCATATCACATGTGATTCCAAGGTTATCGTTTTTGGGAGTTCATATATCGTTTTACAGGTCGAAATGCATGTTTTCAGTCAATCTGTGCTCCAATACTACTCTGCTTGACGGAGAGTTTAGCCTGTTGCTCAAGTGGATCAAGAATGATCAAGAGCAAGTACAACTACCAGCATCCTCCAACAGGTCACCAATTATATAGAGACATCTTGAGACCTGGAAGATGGCTAGTTAAATCAGCCTAGTCTTCCAACTACTTCCTAGGCAGTCTGAGTCTTATCACATACCAACATCACATCCGCACCCCCAGACCATCACATCACCCCTTCGGAGGAGCATCTGCGAAGCCGATGTACCAGCCCACATTGTCTAAGCGTAAGACAGAATCCAGCAGGAGCGGAATGCCTACTGCTCGCAGCGTCGAGGCATCGTTTCGTCCGGTCGCAAAGGCGGGATCTGGCAGGAGCAAAGGTGTTGTTTCTGGGATTTTCTTGGCATGGTTGATTTGTGGATGATCCCCAATGAGTTGGATTTAGGATGGGGATCGCTTAAATTCAGATTCGCTCCGGCATGTCAAGTGAAAAGTCTACCTGGATCTTGATGTCTGGTGGGGTTTTCTCATTCCACATGCAAAATCTTAGCCGCCCATTCGTCCATTGGCAATATATACGGTAGTCCAACCGTCCACCCTGAAACCCATAAGAGTGTCAATGTCTTAAGTCTTGATCTAAGACTCCTGCTCATCGTTCTGATTCCGTGGAACCTCCTTACCTCGAAGCATACAAATCCGCACAAATCCGCACACCTTATGACTTGTGACTCCTTTCTTCCAATGTTCTTCAGCTCCGCATGTCGTCTCCCCCCCCACCATAACCCACATTCTCGTCTCGCCTAAGGGTCGCTTGAAGCGCTTCTGTGGGCATGAGAGTCTGGAAGACCCACACTCCTGGACCCACTGCGCTTCACGCACGGCACGCAAAAGCTCAAAATACTCCTCGGCCGCCGAGGAGTCTTCGGTGCGGCGCATCGGAAAGCACCGGCACGGCGGCGCAGGCACGGTGCCAAGCACCGAGTGATGGTCGCGAGGAGGCCGGCGTACTGCGATGTTTTTTCAAGGATCTGTCCGATGTTCCAAGGAGATTTGTCAGAACTTCAGCGAAGCACAGGACGACCAAACCCATATATACTCATCATTACTGTCATGTTCTGCCATTCTTGTCTACATGTCGAGAGTCTAGTAATCAAGTGAAATAACCCACACCTGGAGGCTCTCCCCCAGGGTCCCGTACCCACCACCACAACCATCCCCTGTTGCCTGCCCTCACTCCCCCGTAAGCAGATCGCCCACCGAGGTGCGTCGCGAATCAGGGAGGTGGCGGCCGGCGACCGCGGCCCCTCGTCCGTGGTTTCATTCAGATTGAGCCCGAAGTTGACGCTCCACATGAGAATGAGCCCTTCCATCTTCTCGGCATCCTGCAGCGCCTGGGCATCAGGAGGAAGGAAGAGACGCCTTGAAGAACGGTGTTGTTTGTGGTGCTGTGGTGCTTGTTGTTGTGGCAATCGATGCTTACCCCCCAGTCTGATGGAACATGTATTCATTTCAAAGAACGTGGTTATGAGGTCCTCTCAAACACCACTGACCGCTCACCCCTCACCTCACACACCCGGACCCACATCCCTGCAATCATCAACCTCTCTCTCAGTTGTTTGACCCGGCCCCGAACATCGCTCCACCTGCACCATGAACTTCTGAAATCCTTCCCAAACCTCCTTGGCCCGCAAGCCAAAGGCTGTCGTCCTCGGTCGGCCGATGTAACGCACCGAGACGCCGAAGGACAGTGACGTGAAACGCACTGTCAAGGAACGTGGAGTGCCTCACCAAACCCACCAAAACACAAAGACTACACGAGTGTGGGCGGAGCAAAAAAGGGGAGAGAGTCCGGAGAGAGGACCCCCAATTAGTGTGTGTCAGCATGCATGACTGCATCAGCAAACATGGAACACGGCGGCCCATGAAGACTGTTGACCGTTTATTTCTACCGGCCTGACCATTCTTGCTTCAGGGCGGACAATCACATGCTCAGATACAGTTTGCCAGCGAATCTGTGCTTCAACTGGTGCATGTTCTGCGGGCGGCTCGGATGACCACCGAAATGACCACCGAGAAGCCGTTCGGCATCGCTACGAACGGAGCAAGGAAGCTACGAACGGGGCGCTCCTGGCCATACTACTAGGATCTACTAGGAACATCTAGAATCTAGGAACAAGAAGGTACTAGGAACAAGGGCATCGCGAAAACAGAGTCCTGGTCGCTGTCTGCTGCTCTAAGACCCTGGCAGCCTCGCACTCTCGCTGAGGAAGAAGCTCAAGTCGAACGAGGGAATGACATACCTGGACTCTTCTGCGGGAAGTTGTGCCACATGAATTCGCATCAACTTGTCTGATTGCCAAAGGTCTCGGGCAACGCTCTCTTCTCTGAAACTGATCAGGACGCAGCCCTGACAACACACGCAAACTCAACCCCCCAAAAATCAGTAAAAACATTGCAAAAAACATGCGCAAGGATGATCTTGGACGGGTTTACCTCATTTACCTCCTGAGATTCTTTGCAAAACAGAACCCATCCTCTGTTTGTTCGGCCCCGAAGTGACGACAAAAACCATAAACGCCGGAACAAGAAGAAAGAAGGAAAGAAGGACAAACCGTAACCGAAATAAAGAAAAACATGAAAAAGGAACCAAGTCCTAAAGCTGTCCCGATGTTGCATCCTGATGTGGCCATCTCGCTCAGCAAATAGAGCTGGTTTTGCTTGTGCAAACGCGAAGCAAAAACCTGAATGGTGGACATTAGACCCCCTCATCCACCTGGAATTCCTCTTGTTTCGCCAAATCCCAGCCAGAGAGGTCGACCAATTCAAACGTCTTCTCTCTCAGTCCTCTTTGGGTGGATAGTCAGTCTTCTTTTCATGCTCTTTGCCAGGTCACAAGCCATATTTTTGACAAAGCTTCAGGAAACCCGAGTGATCCTGAGCTGGATCCCACGGTGCCAGTCGCACCGCGTTGGCCTTCAGAATCCTCCTCGGTCGGAACGGTGTCTAACAGTGCGAGTTCCGGGCGGGGCGGGGATGGGGGTGAAAACAGTGCCGTCTGGAGACTGGATTGACCGAAAGGGCTGAAAGTATCCTTGGAGCATTCCTTTTCCAATGACGATTCTGGATGATTCTGGGTTGGGGCCTGAGAAGAGGAATCGTCCTTGGAGTGGAACTGATGCGGGGGCTGGAAAGGTCAGGGGAACTTGGCAGTCATGGTGTGAATCGAAGTATAGGTCAGTGTCACAATGTCTTCCGATACCAACATACACACTTGATCCATCCAGCAAAGGCCACTGAATACTTCAGCACTCTAGAAGCAAAAGTTTTGGCAGGACTTCGTGCTGTGCCGAGAAACGTTCCCCCAACCTCAAAGCCATTAAACAACCTGGCCTAGAAGAAAAGCACAGGTTCGGGATGGTTCGGGGACAGGGTTGATTTGAAGGGGGAGTGGGGGGCAGGCAAAATTCTAGTACTTCGAAGGATCGCGATTCCTAAGTGTGCGCGTGTGCGTGTGTGTGTGTGTGTGTGTCACACCCTGGTTCTAAGGGTTTTCCACCTTTTCACTTT